AAGACGAAGCACATCGGGATGAGGTATCACTTTGTGAGGGGATTGATCAGTAATAGAACAATCAAGTTGAAGAACATCTCAGGTGCTAAGAATCCAGCAGATATGTTCACCAAGACAGTGGTGCTGGATAAGCTGAAGCTTTGCATAGCTTCAGCTGGTCTCCTGGAATAGTGTTGAGGAGAGGGGCAACTAGGGAGATGTGAAGATCAAGGAAGATTTTTCATTTACAGAAAGAAGTACAGAGAGGAGCCGCAGTTTGGTCCAAATACTCCAAGTGGGAGATTGTTGGTGATGTGTAGTCATCGGCCCAAAGTGGCCCACTTGTAGACAACTGAGAATTAGGAGACCAGATTAGGGTTTCGGCCGGCCCAAATGGTTTTAAGCCCAGTTTGCTATAACTTGTCCAGCAAGGGTTAAACCCTAATTAGTTGTCTATATATTTGATCTCCTGTACTTGTAATCATCATCACTCAATAATACAAACCCTAGTTGCCCCTGTGGATGTAGGTCAGATTAGACCGAACCACGTTAAATCTCGTGTTCTCTATTGCTTTCTTGCTTTCTATTCGTGTGTGTGTGCTTTTGTTCTTAACAAAATCTTGTCATTGGCCTGAAAGAAGCAATAACTGTGGGTTTCCCCACGCAGGGGTGGAGCTTCCTGCCACTCATCTTTGTGTTTTTGTGTATCCCGATAAAAGATAGCCCGCGAGGGTATCATGTCCCCATTTGTGTACATCAGCTCACGGATGATAAAGATATAAAACCCTATGGCAAGTGCATAATAAAAAATGTTGGTATAGGGTCGATCTGGCTTCTTAAAGACCGGGGAGATGTATCCATATGTAGGATTCTGTGACGAAATAAAAACCACTCAGCTTTAGTGAATTCCACATCACCAGATATAGGGTTACACCCTCGAAAAAGCAAACGAAAATAGATTTTGAAAACTTCAGCTTCACATTCTGCACCTTTGCTCAATGATTTACCTGCACATGATGCAGGCAATACACTTTTGATAACTCCTAGAGATGACAAGTACAACATTGTGGTGAGGGACATAATAAATTTCTAGTTGATTGAATATGAGAGTGGCTTTTGAATATATGCTGGCCTCAAGAGAAGTTGTGTAAATTCATTGTTTGGATGAATTTTAATAGCACTACATATGGGCCACAGTGAATTTCAATAAAGAGAAAAGAGTTCGATAGTGCTCTCCAACACACACACAATAACAACAACAGCAAAAAAAACAACAGAAGTTATGCTTTTTGAGGTCTAAACTTTGACTAAAAAATAGGGAATAAGTAATAAAATAAAAAAGGTAAAGACTTTTTTTTAAATAAAAAAATCTGGAGTAAACATTTAATCAAAAGATTTATCTTGAAATAGCATATTTTTGTCCTTCCATATATATTATACTCAGCTGAGCGGAGGGTGGAAAAGGGTTCATATCTGATTTTCTCATCATCTGCACGATGGATTTAGGCTGATACAATGATGACTGCACTAGCCTGGATTTAAGCTTACGCTGATTCAATGATGATTGCACTTGCTTGGCTTTAGGCTTAGGTTGATTCAATGATGAAGATGACTGCACTTGCTTGGATTTAGGCCTAGGCTGATTCAATGATAAAGATGATTGCACTTGCTTGGCTTTAGGCTTAGGCTGATTCAATGATGAAGATGATTGCACTTGCTTGGCTTGAGGGTTAGGCTGATTCAATGATGAAAATGACTGCACCATAGTTGTCATGGCGCATGGCGACATTTATGGCGATGGGCCAATATCGCATGGCGATGGCGCATATTTGGCGTTGCCACAAGACACTTGTCAGAATATTAATTTACTACTATTTGCACATGTATAAGGAATATATTCTATAAAAAACAATAGATTAAGACAAAAAATTGTGTCAGAAAAATTATGTGAACCTGTCAAAATAGAAAATTATGATAGGAAAAAAAGTAATGACCAAAAAATTATACCAGAAAAAAATTTATGGCAGAACAAATTGAATAAAAATATATTAAACATTGCCAACACAGTACTAATGATTTAAAACAGAAAAAGGAAGAAAAGCTTTCAAGAAAAAGAAAAAAAGAAGTATACTGATGTATTAAAAAAAGGAAAAAGGAAGTACTAGTCAATTACCCGATACTGCTTCGTCAATCTGTGAGTTGCACAAGGAGTGGGTTGCGACTAGAAGAAGAAGCAGCCGATACGAAGAAGACGACGATTGGGATTTAGCCCTGCCGGTTTTGCGCGTCGATTGGGATTTGGGAATCGATTGAGAAGATTAAAGGGCTGGAGACTAGTAATTAAAGGTTTAATTTCTTTATTGGGCCTAATTTATTGAATTTGGGTCGGGTTAAATTAAAAAAATGGCGTGAGAATGGCGATGGCGTGGCGATGGCGCCGATTTGGCGTTGCCACAAGACAATCGACCGCCACTGCCCAATTCATGGCGTTTCGGCTCTAGATCGCCAATGGCGCATCTATGGCGCGCGCCATTTGCGCCATCGATAACTATGGACTGCACTTGCTTGGCTTGAGGCTTAGGCTGATTCAATGATGAAGATGAGTGCACTTGCTTGGCTTCAGGCTTAGGCTGATTCAATAATAACGATAATTGCACTTCCTTTAAGACTTTTTTCATATCCGCAAAATCTTCTTCTAAACGTGTTAACTTTTCTGCGAGATGCCTGGTGTCGTAGTAATGGTGGGTGGAGGAACTTACATCCTCCATTCCTCTGGTTTGGATATCTTATAAGAGATCAATCGGTGGAGGAATCGATCTTCTCGTAATTAACGATGCACAGAATCCAACTCTCTGTTCTCTCTGATTTGGATGAAATTTCGCTAGAGTTTCGTCGATTTCTTTCTATCCAACACCACAAAGATTAAATCAGTGATGCAGGAGGCATAAAATAATTAAAAATTATTCACGTGTTCCGTCACTTTTCTCCCTTCCTTCTCTATTTATTTTATCATATTCAATTACTCTGCCCCTTTTTCCCTTTTCACACTTTCCAACCATCTTTTCAAATTCAAACACTCTCATTTCTAACACATTATCTTAAATTTAAATTCAATTTCTTCGCTATTCAAATCCTCAAAATTATATCACAATTCAAAACACAACACTTCTTCGTTCTACTTCGTGTGTGTAAGTAGACTTTGCCCCTACTCGGAATTAGGGAGGCTGTTTCCAAGAGACCCCCGACTCAATTAAATAGTTTGAAAAAATGAATCAAATAAATTCCTATGATAGATGTATGTTGCTTTTATATTTTGCATTTGTATATAATAACTTTAAGGAAGTTTTGTATATATGATAGAAATATATTTGGAGTGTATTGGAGTATTTTTTTTTTATTTCTTTTATATTTGATACATTATTATGGTCCAATATTTTGTACATAGCATGGAAATTTGAAGTATATGTTCTTTTATTTCTCTTATATTTTTGTGTATTTGCATTAAATTTTATGAAGGAATGGACCAATTTGAACGTGATATTGCCGGTCCTTGAAATGATGCTGTGTTAACACTTCAAGAGAAGCATCGTTCAAGACGTGTTTGGGAAGAGGAAGATTTTCTTGATGCAAAAATGTTTTTTGTTAGTATGACACCGACGTTGAAAGATTTTACGAAGATGATCAGATAAAGACAAATATCAGAACTACTGGTTTTTATGGGGTGCATCGTGTACAACCCATTAAAATGGATCATAGTTTAATCACGATTCTATTGGCACGGTGGAGACCGGAGGTTCATGCCTTCTAGTTCTCTTTTGGCGAATTAGGGATTACCTTACAAGGTGTTGAGTGTCTTCTTGAATTACTTGTGCATCGAGACATCCAAGAACTCCGCCTCCGTCGTTTACAAAGTAACTTTAACACGGCTTTCCACAACGGGACATTAACACGATTTTGCCTTTGAGAAAAATATGTTTAGGGTTTTTCGAATAGCAGTCAGCGGCTGCGTTTTTCCCTTTGTGGAAGATAGTCCATTTCTTCTTTCCTATCTCAGTATTTTTTCGTGTCCACTATACTATAGATAACTAAATTGTTTCCTTGGGGTTTTAAAAATAATTAGGCTCTATTTCAATTTCAATTCTGATATTTGATAGTACAAAAAATATTTAAATTTAGAATTGGCAGTTCAAAAAAATGAATTGGATATGAAAATTCAATTCTATTGAATTTAATTTCATTGTATTCAATTCTAATTTTGTCAATTTTGTGTACCAAACGGACCCTTGTAGCAATTATAATTTGAATTTTAGTGTTTTTTCCTACCCTCATAAACATAGTTTTGGATATATTTATTTGAATAAACCTAGGGTATACCAAAATGGGGTAGCCCATTTATACACCTGACAAACACAGGCAAACATAGATACTAAGTGTCTGTGTTAATCCGTGTTTGCCTGGTGTACAAATGGGTTACTACATTTTGGTGTACCCAGCATGCCCCTATGTATTTTTTAAAATGTTAATATTGTTTAGATTTAGTTAAATTGTCATGGACAAGTTGGGTGACTGATCTTTGAGCTAGCATTGAACATGTAAAAGAGGTCAAAATTTTTTGGTCAAATAGCACAAATACTCTTGTAGGTTTGGAAAATAGGCACCAATACTTTCATATTGTTAAACTTTATTTATAAAGTCCACGTGATTTCAAAATGTTGCACTTATACTCACTCAGATCATTTTTTGGCTATTTTTCTGACAAAGAAATGGGCATTTGTGCCAATTTTCCAAATAATGGGAGTACTAGTGCTCATTTCTTATTTTTCGTTTATTTTTTTCTTTTTCCTTTTTTTGATTCTTTTTAAATCAAAGTTCTTTATTTTTTTTTAAAAAAATTGTTTTTATAATGTTCTTAAAATTTAAAAAGATTTTTGTTGGAAAAAAACTACGGAGTAACATATACTACATTTGTATGTCTTAACTTAACCATTTTCATTTTTTGTTTTCTAAAATAGAAAATTTAAAACATATTTTGAGAACTTCAAAAAATGAGAAATAAATTAAGAAATGAAATTCAAGAAAAAATAAAAATGAATATCCTAGTTGTGCATCCCAATTCTAGAGACGTTTTTATTATTTTTATTTTCTTTCTATATTTTTATTATTTTTATTTTCTTTTTGAGCTTACCAAAAACATTATTCTAGAAAATAGAAAATTAAAATGTTTAATTTGAGATAGATGAAATATATGTTTTTTTATTTTTATTTCAAACACAAAGAATTTTGAATTTTTGAAAACATTATAAAAATTCAAAAAAAAATAAAAAACTTTTCTAGGAAAGGGAAACAGAGATAAAAAAGTTTATAAAAGAAAAAAAACAAAATAATAAACAAAAAATAAGAAATGAGCACGTGTGCCTCTTATGGTTTAAAAAATATGCATCAATGTTACCTCTTCGCCGAAAAATGACTAGAAAAATGATCAGATGAATGTGGGTGCAACGTTTTAAAATCACAAAAGTTTTAGAAATGTGTTTCGAAAATATAGGAAATTAATGCTAATTTTCTAAACCACATGGGGCATTGGCTAGAGTTTTCTACAATTTGCAAAAAAAAAAATGCTCTTAAAATTTAATGGAAGTAGTATTATCCCGCATGAATTCAGGGATATCAATGATTTAGATGCATTTGATGATTTTGATCATTTGATATGTAAAAGGGGGTTTGATAAAGCAAATACACAATGCATATGGCAATTGGCATGGGGAAATAATGATGTCAAAATCTTATATTGAAAATCAAAAAGTGAAACATCAACAAAATTATGGGATGTAAGAAAAATTTCTTGAATAACAAAAAGGATGTCACAACACTAGTTAATAGAGTACTAAATAGTAACCCTTGTTGGACTTTCACGATGTTGTCTTTTTAGTCAAATATATTTAATTTTGCCAAAAAATACATTTTAATAAATATCATGGAGTAATTTACAATATATGAATGGTATAAATGTTCTTCAGCACGAAGACATTCATAAAATGTGCAAAATTTCCAACTTTCACGCCTCCACTAAAACATGTCAACTAAAAATATTTTTCAAAATTAATAATATTTGACCAAAAAGTCAAACTTGGCAAGGTCCAACCAGAAGAATGAAACATACCTCCCTTAAAAGGAGACTATGGGTTCAAAGAGAAACATTGAGCTTTAGAGAAGAGTGAGTTACCACAACCTCTTTGGAATTATCTTCAGACGTTGGGTGGATTGGGCACTCAAACTTGAGCGCCACATGTAGAGGTCTGCTCACAATGAGGCTTTCCAAATCTCTCTGTGTTGCCAAAAGATATGAAACAAGCATTTCTTTGTTTCCCCTTTTGCCAGGGTCAATATTGTCCACTATCATGGCGGCCTTCTGCTCCAAACTTTCGGCATCTCCGCTCTTTCTCAGTTTCAAATACAGTGCAGCTGAGATGATGATCTGAAATTGGGAAAAAAATATTATTCCTTTTGTCCCAAAATGATATTCCCATGTGAAAATAGCACAGGTAGTAAGAGTAGTTTGGCCGTTTGGTTGAAAAGAGTTATTTATTGGGTGGAAATGACTGCAATTGATAAGATGTGAAGTAGAATTTAATTTTGAGCTGTTGAAGGGTGAAAGTGACATTTCACTAGTAAAAAATCCAAAAAAGATACCCCAAGGATGATTTTATGGATGGCAAAAAGTACTCCCTCCATTCTTAATTACTCCGTAACTGTCAGGTTGACTTCTTTGGTATATTGAAATGGTATGAATCTGGACATAATTACATCCAAATTCATTCGTTTTGTAATGTACCAAGCAGTTAATTAAGAATTGAGGGCATAAGTGAGAAGATGATTCTGGAACAGGACGGCTACCTCACTTGTCCCAGGGCTGGTGTTGACACAGCAACCAATGCAAACTGTCCCTTCAGGAGTGACGGCTTGAGAAGGACCCGAGCTAAGCACTACGTCTGTGCTAGATTCAGTGGGAGAGTTTTGTCTTTCGTCGTCTTCTGTTTCTGGTGCCCAAAAGGTATGGTGGTCAAGTTCATCATACCATTGTTGGGCGGTGTATACCTGAATACAACTCATAAAAAAACACTATCTGTATGCGACTCATAGACCCTCTCAACTAAATGGAATTAATGCATGAAACTTTTTTTATAAGAAACCTTTTCGGAAGTAGAACTGCTCTCTGCTTCAGAGACTACTGTCGCTGCTCCTCTAGCTTGGCGCCAAATGCAGCTTTCACTCAAGGGTTCTACAAGATCAAATGACTTGGGTATCTCGATACTCATTTGTATATCAACTCTGCCTAAAATGGACACAACCAAAGCATAAGCCTATAGGTGAAACCGTGAAACGTCAAAGTGAAATTAGATATTGTAGGACACAAATGTAAACACAGATTAAATATGCAGGAGCTGATAAGCAGGGAACATTTAAATCACAGGAAGTAAAAAACCTGGGAGCAAGGCAAAATTTTCAGTGTGATCAACATTAAGTTCTGAGAGTGTGTCATGCCTGGAAAATATAAGTTAAATTCATTGTAGTGGTAAGATGATTATAAAGGGAAAGTGAAAGAGAGAAACCACTTTGCATGTGATACACTTACGTAGCACAAACTTGCTCCAGAGGGAATGGGACCCAATAAGGAAGGCCCAAGACACTAAAATTTGAGAACTTGATGGTTGATGAAGTCCCGGATTTCCTATCAAATTTTAAAACCTCCTGACCAACTTCAAAGACATGCTTATTACACAACCAAATCTTTGTACATGCAAATAGCATGTTCTATATACTTGGAATTCTTGTTTGTATACCTGGATTGCAAATGATCATATCATCTTGAAAAGTTGCAATAGAAGACATTAGACCAGCATATGGAACTCCCTCCAACGAGATATTATTGTCCATTAGCCGCTTCAACAAATCACCCGGCACTTGTTTTAGAATATTTGACTTCTCCAGAATTAAATGCCCACAGATCTCCATTATATTTGAGAATCCTTCAAAGACATGCAAAGTGATGATGATGATTGGACCAACATACATCGTATAATATAATACATAACAAATAATGCAGTACCCTGGCAGTGGCTTCCATACCTTTCACAATTTCTTTGAGGGTCCCAGAGTGAAAGTCCATGACCCATAACGTCTGCAAGCTGCAAATAAATTTTTAACTTGCAGTCACAACAATGCCAGTTGTACAAGATGTAAAAGGTCACTCAACAACTTAACGGGCCATTTAATCATTTATCGGGTCAAAAGAGGTAAAGAATCTCAAGTTTCAATTGTTCTGTGCATGGACATTGGCCAATCAAGTGAATAAACACAATCAAACTAATTTGTTTTCACAGCTTCAATTGACTTTGAAAGAGAATGTAATGGGAAAAAAGCATTGTAGCAATGTTAGCTTGAAAGACCAACATACAAAAGGATTTGATAGGTCAAATAATCTCAAAAATTAATGATGTATCTCAATCTACAGTTCACTGCTTTGTTTTAAGTACTAGATAAGATAAGGCAATGAGTGAAGTTATGGGATCAAGTGAGAATGCTAGACTCTTACTTGCAATTAAGAACAAAGAGAGTGTTTTGGCATTTTAACATATGCCAAGGGAAAAGCAACGAATTTGGTGAACATTCATCAGATTTAGCATCAGGCTCCTTCTTTCTCGAAAGCTTGCCCAAAATCCAGCTCCATAAGCTATTGGAATCCTTATTCGAGTTTGTTGCAGGATACAGTGTCTCTACAATTCTCTTCCCCATATCAGCTCTCCTGATGGCATGGTTCTTTCACACCAAGAGCGATGTTAGCACAACTAACTAATGAATAAAGATTAAAGAGTGCATAAACTGAAGCAGAAAGAGAACTGGGGAAGGGGCAGACCAGGATATAAAAGAAAAAGCGATCTAACTACGTGAATTCATGAATACAACTACAAATGCATAACTGAAGCTTGGAATACTTGTTTATTAGGCCTAAAGACACTAAAAGAGCAGTTGAGACCAGGGTGTCCTGACATGCCCAATATGGACACTTGCAATCTTTTGTCAATAGAAAATAAAAACCAAGGGCTTTATGGAATACCTCTGAGTCCACAATGTACAGGCAATCTTCATCAGCATGATAAAGTGATGCTGCAGGACGCATAAACTTTGCGTTTTCAAAGTCTCCATCTTCAAAACCAGGAGAGGAACCAATCTACGTTAGAAACAAAGTTTTCAGTTGGCATTTTTTAAATACTTATTATGACAATGTTAATATCATCTATTGATTAGCAATGTACTTCAACAAGTCTGTAGAATTTTAAGGCATACCGAGTCTAGAATTCCTCCATGAGCATCAATCACAATGATCCGGTTATGATTACTGTCAGAAATGTAAATGCGACCTCCGGTCTCATCAACTGAAGTACAACCTACCAGAAGAGCAAATACAAACTGTTTCTAACTGTTCAAGCAGACAATATTAAAATAGACTATGCAAGGCACCAATGATTACAGTCATTACACATGCCCGCACGCCCGCATAAGAGATAAAAAACAGACCAAACCAGCCAACCATCAATAATACCCCCTCTAACCCAAAATGAAGTTCACACTTTCCTTTTTCGGATGTCCCAAATTGAAGTTTGCACTTTCTCAGTTTCCTATTGAGGAAAGAAATGTGTGGCTCACAACGTTACTCCCCCTTCTAGACAAATTTCAACCATACAGTTTTACTTTTCAACAAATGAAGTAAATTCATTTTGGGACAATGTAATAAGTTAAGAATGTTTCAATTCCTTTATGTTCAAGTAAATGGCATTGCTGAAAAGTAATCAACACATTATGCCAGACATTTATAATATTCCCACTGTCGCACTTTACCTTTCCCTATAACTATTCATGTGATACCCAACTCTTTTTTTTAGTTGCTTAGTTCTAAAAGAAACTTTTATCACACTCAAATTCTATTTTAGAAACTTAAAAGAACTTTTGGCTTAGTTTTATTTAAAATATGTAAATATTATAGAGCAATGCCGAGTTAAATGTAGAGGAGGTGGAGGTAGAGGTAGGCCTAACAAGAGTTGGAAGGAGGTGATCAGACAAGATCTAGGTTGTTTAGCCCTAACTGAGGATATGACCTTAGATAGACGAGGGTAGTTGGGTAGCTTCTGGGACTCTATGCTAGTCTCTCTAGTTCTTTTAGTGTAAGATGGTTAGCCTTTTGCACTTACTGTTGTGTACTTTTCTTGCTCCGTGACTTTGCTTTTTTTCCTTTTTTTGTCTCTTGTGTTCTTTTGTTTCTACTCTTAGCTTGCCCTTTCTTTCGTGCTCTGTGCTTTATGCTTTGCCCGAGTTGGGGGTCTCTTGGAAACAGCCACTCTACTTTCAAGTATGGGCAAGGTCTGCGTACACCCACCCTCCCCAGACCCTGCTTTTGTGGGATTACACTGGGTTGTTGTTGTTGTAATGCTGAGTTAAATGTAATTTACTTCATTTGAGCGTCATAGACTTAAAATACTAGAAGCCCCTTATAATTTGAGATGGAGGTAGTAAATTATTGCATTGAGACCCATGAGGTTCTTTTTATCATGGGGAATATAGTAAATAAGGAACTAAAGCATAGGGCCCAGGAGAAACATATACTTGGGAAATAAAGGAATAGATTCTGTAAGGGAATACAGAGATATGGTTCCTTGAATACTTCAACTGGTTTTTGCCAAGGACTATTCATAGTATGCATGAAACCAAGAGTCTTCATATGCTGCACTTTCAAATCTTTGATGGCTGTTACTGTGAAGCAAAGGGCAAAGATGCCTTATCAGTAAGATCACCAGATGGATGGAATTATTAGAATACAACAAAGAGCAATACTATCAAGGAAAATGGGGCAGATATATGAAAAACAAGTTTATTATCATATCTAACAGCCGAACAGCCTCATTTGTAGGTAGTAATTTGTCAAGGCTTCAAAACGCAGAAAAACAATAACAATACAGTCTACAGTGCAACACCATGTTGTATTTGTCTAAAAAAGGTTTACTTTCTTTTATTAAAGACCAGTAATTTTTTTCTTTTCCCAACTCACCCTTAGTCCCTTACCACTTGTTGACTTTTAAAAATGATGTGATAGTGTAGGAGTCCTCTTTGAAAGTCAATATAGTAAATTACATCACAAAATATCAGTTTTTATTAAAAACAATGATAAAAGTAGAAGTGACTTTAATTTGGGGCTTTGGTTGGAGGAAGTACAAAATACGTACCATATTGGGTAGAATTGTCCATCCGGATTTGTTTTACTAGTAACTTGTCAATCTGGATGGTTCTACACTTTTCTGTTCTAGTTGACTGGAATATTCTGTTCGAACAATACTCTGTTCTAGTTTACTAAGCACGAACCAGAGAATACTCTGACCAGAAAATGAACCTAATGTAGGCTCTTCTGGTATATACTAGTATATGTTTGCTCTAAATGGTTTTAAATTGTTCCAGTCGAGAATCAGCTGCTATATATTCATAATTATCAGTTCTTTTCTACAAAATAATCCATTTTAGATTTAAATATCAAGAATCAAAGACCCCTCTGACCAGAAAGTTAGCTTAATTTCAACTTCAAAGAATCAAAGAAAATAACAAAAGGATGGCATACCATTGTCCAGAATCATTTGATCTACTTCCTTGGGATGGTAAGTTATAGGACTCTTAGGGCCCTTGAATATAATGCAACATGGACTTTGAACAATCTAAAATTGCAAAATAAAAAATACGGAGTGTAAAACAAAAGTTAAGGACGTCAAACACTTGTCTAAATTAGGCAGAGGAAGGACTCGGGAAAATCTTCAAAAGAAGTACCAATCTAAATCATAAGATTACATGGACCAAGTAAATTATACAATATCTGATTATTGATCAGCAACGTGTTAGAAGTATGGTCCATTCATGCAAAAAAAATGAATCTCCTTTTAAAATTCCATATTTTGAATGAGCATTTACAAATGTTAGTTCAATAGTGGTATGCAACACACCTTGGGGAAGTTCGTGTTAGACAGCAAAATAGGAAAGCTTATGTATTCCTTCATTACTCTTTGGAGTAAATGTGTGTAATCATTTTTGGAGAGAATTGGTGATGTGGTATACTGATATCCCATTACTTGAAGGAAAGGATACCTGCAATTTCAAAGGCTCAAACCAACCACGCAAATTATTAGAGAAGCCAATACAATGCAAAGACATGTTACCTCTGCTGAAGTAATTTGACTTTCTCAAGCATGATAAAAAGGTCATGATGTGTCAAAGGGGAACCTTGAAAGAATTCAGCTACAAGAACTAATGCAATGCCTTCTTTCTTGAATATATTCTTTTTTGTCAAAATTCCATTTAACCAAATATGAGAAGGGCCTAAGCATTCAAGTAGAAATGAGAGAGAGAATGTTAGGTTTGGTAGAAAAGAGGGTTCTTATGCTTTTGCACTTCAAGATAGGAAAGCATGTTTAGTATTTAGTACATATGAAAGCAAATATGTGTATCAAACTAACTAAAAATTGTGTAGGACTCATCAAGGTATACTGAAACCCTGAAAGTTCTCAGGTACTTCAAGCACAATGACAGTGTGACTGGTCCTATGAGATGCTTCATGGACAGTTACTGCACGAAGGATCTTGATAACAATTTATAACAGCTCACATAACTCAGTTCGCACTCAGATTCATTAAAAGAAATATGGTTCACAACTTGTATTAGGGAATATGGTTCTTAATATATTATTGCAAGAATGCAAGGAATTATGCCATTATGGTCTGTAAACTTGTTTCACCTTCATGCTTGCTAACGGTAGATTGAATGAAAGACAACAAGTCAAGTTGTTGAAGAGACTCTTGTTTTGATTTTGGCATAGTTGAAAACCTGAGAGCCACTGTATGTTAGAAATGCAGCAACATTAAGATTTGTAAAAATAGGAGAGTATATTTATTCGGTTCATATAAACACTGATCTTGTACAATCAAAAAAAATTAGTGCAAGGAAATGAAGATGAAATTCTGGAAGCAGTAAAACATGTAGAAAAAAATCACCTTCGATAAATACAGCGTATGCAATCATGTTTTTTCATGCTACCAATTGATTCATGAAAAGATGAGGGCAAACACAATGGAACTAGACTTCCAGCTCCTCCAAGAAGCTGATACCTCTTCCCTAACAGTTCCAATAGGAAATGATTAAAAGAAATAGTTGATTTATTAAAGGATTCAATAATATTCATTGGAATTTTGATGCTTAACTTACTTGTATGATTTACACATAAAAGCCTCTGAATTTCTTTCAATAAATGAGGCCTTAAAGCCACCACTTTCCCCATTTTCTAAAAATATGGGTTTAACACCAATGCATCCCCTTAAAATGGCCACTATCGAGCACGAGACTTTTCTGCTTCAAATAAAAAGAAAGGTTAATATGTTGTCTCAAAAATCCAAAATCTATCGGCATCTGCATTTAACACAAGAATGTAAAAATCAGGTAGATAATGGACTAAATTAAAATGGGACATTAAACTTCCACCGCTTCATGCTCTCAATGAAGTTTTGGGCAGTCAATGCAGCAATGCATTAAGGGTCTAACAGAAACTGTCTATCTACATACGGTTGTGTACATCTTGACTCCCAGACCCCAACGAAGTTGGAATTACAGAACTACACGGAGTACTAGGTTATCGTTTCTTACCGAGTACTTCTTTAAGAATGTAAGAATATAGCAGTAAAATTTGCGTAAATGCAAAACCTACCATTATCTGGTGAACTCCATTTTTAAATGACTGAAAACCAGAATTTACATTATAGCCTGCAAAACTAATGGCTTAAACCCTAGTGGACGTAATTGACTAAGTCTGCAAATTGAACATTTAACCACAATTGGCCATAATTCATTGATTCAGCATATCAAAAATAGAAACTCAGAAGCTCAAATATAACCAACATAAACACTCCATACAATAGCAAATTATACCGTACATCCGGCAACTAATTAGGGCAAACGCCACTGCAAGAACGGCCGACCATGAAGGAGAAGCAGGCTGCGCGATCGATCGGCGATTACTAGGCTGCGGGAAGGTCCAATCGGCGATTGACGATGAAGATGGAGATTGTTTGGAAGTCCGATCGGCAATTGAAGGATAAAGGTCTGATCAGCGACAGCAGCTTGGATGTGAGAAGATCTGATCGCGATTCCAGGTGCTCCCTATTTTTTCTTCCCGATTCCAGATGCTTTGGTTTTTTCTTAGCGATTGAATACTGTACAAATGTGTTTTAGAATGAATGTTACTCCCTCCCTCCCATTTTAAATTGCATGTTTGCTTTTTTTCTCCGTCCCAAAATAAGTTGCCTGTTAATTGTTTTCGTAAACTTTTAAAAATAAAATACCTAAACTACCCCTAAAATAAGTCACACTTCTTCACCTTATATTCTCATTCACCATCACCCCTCCTAAAAAGTAATGTCAATTTCGAAAAATCAACTTTATTTTTTATTTTCCTTAAATATACCCAAAAGTCAAAATAGGCGATTTAAATTGGGACGGAGGAAGTATGTTATACGTAAATGAATATTGAATAAATTTGTGAAAATGAATACGATGTTATTTCTGAATGAGTACTGCGTTATTTCAGATTGAGTATCACATTTTTCAAATGAACTATTATGCTTGTGCAAGAATGAGTACTACTTTATTTCGAAATGAGTACTACTTAGATGTACCTATCTCTAGGTACATCCGGATGTACCATATACTAACTCCCATATAATTTCAGAATATACGTATAGAACAATAAGTGTCACACTGGCCATTCGTAATTACCGGTGGCAGTTGAGCGAAAACTAGAAAGGATGGCGAATTGAACTCTGAACTTCTAAGCCGAAGAGTGGAGTTGTGGAAGAATGAAATGCAGAGCAAATGGGAACTAAGCCCGTAGCATGTCGTCACCCCGTATGTCGTGCTCTGCCGCGACGGAAACCATAGCGAGTGTGAGGGTGTTTGAAGCTTTTTGTGAGTTAGCTTTTGATAGTGCTGCTAGGTTTGAATAACTTTATGTTTCATAACTTTCATCGGATTAATTAGTTTTCTAATTCGTGCGTTACATGGACATATTTTAAGTTAATAAAAAAATAAAAAATAAATTTATAGTGTATATAAAGACAACAGAACGAAAGTGTTTTCAATATAAACATTAAAAGTATTACTCCGTATATACTAATATTGAGGAATGCATAGTGAAGACAAAAAAAGAAATTAAAGATTTTGAAAGCTTGCACTATATTTCTAAATCAAGTTAAAATAAATGTTGAACAAAAATAGTGTACAATAACATAATCAATAATAATGGCATTATTTTTTCTTGAGAAATACTAAAGTCTTTGTACATAGAAAATTCAAATACATTTTGTATGAGATACATATGTACTTATCAATACTAAAACTATACTTTTTAAATCAAATTTTTTTTATTGATTATCCAGCATACACTTCAAACCTCGGAGAAAAAAATTTAAGTCATTAACTCAAGGGTTTCACATGAGAACAAATGCTACCATACGTAAGCAAATCTAAATTGCAATGAATGAATATAATACCTTTGCCTCATCAATTGAGCGTAAAATTTCTCTCGTCTACATGCACTTCTTCATTTTATTAGATGAGATTAGAACATGCTTAAAAATGTAAACAAAAGTTTATTTCCTAAAGCAACAAATAAGTTTAACAAATGAGAAGGGAAAAATGCTGGACAATGTCATAGGAATCGTCAATTTTACGAATAGGGTACCAGAGCATCTCCAGGTCATCTCATAACATTGCCGGACAATGTCATGGGAACTGTCCTCATGTTGGGTGGGATTCTCATGATATTGGAACCCCCGTGTCATGAAATGACATTGGAACACAACCTCATTCGTAAAATTAACGGTTCATTAGAAAAATATACAGAACACCATAGACGTCTGATCTCATTTAATGACATTAGTTTCCTACATTAAAAACCCCAAGTATTTTAAAATTCAAACCATTACCTTTTCAAATTAGACATCATAAATGCCTCATTTCATTTCATTTCTAATGTCAAAGGCTGATTTTTAAAATGTGGAAGGTAAAGGCAAACCAATCGGGGCAAAACCACCAGCCAAACAGAAAAGCTCCGTCCAGCTAAAAAAGGCAGAGAAGATGGGGCAGAGGGAGAGAGAGAGAGAGAGAGAGAATCTAGAAAATGAGCTACACAACTACCCACGCCTTTCACTTCCTCAAAAGCCCAGAAAGAAAAAGCAAAAATCTTTAATTTTTTCCGCATTTATTTATTCCGCAGATACGTTGTTGTTGTGCTATAACTATCGACTGGCCAATGGGGGAAGAGAATGAGTGACCCATGGCCCCACATGATGAATGAAAAGAAAAAAAGTACTTCTACTGTACAGGATAACAAGAAAGACCAAATCTTGAGCTTTTCCATGTCCTTCGTTATTTGCAAGACTTGATTTTTCTTCAGAGAGAGAGAGAGAGAGATCTCAATCTCATCTGGGCTCTCTCACTGATAAAAGCTTCTTCTTTTGTATTAAGGCTGTGTTCTTCAAATGTCTCCTCCAGTGCAAAGATTGCAGCTTTTCTGGTCATGGGTGTGTGCCTTTATTTACACTTGGCTTTTAGCCAGAGAGAGGGATCTATCTTCTTTCTTCTAAATTCTGACATCTTTCAAAGAATTTGATTGAAAATCTGGGGTTTGAGGTAATTTTGCTCACTGCTGAAATCTCTCTGGTTCATGTGGTCTTAATTGTTGAATCTTTGTTCTGGGGTTTCTTTGATTGCTAATAAGATTGACTAAAAACCAAGAAAATGAGGAAATTGGTGAGATATATCTTTTCAAGCACTGTTGAAGAGTGATATCATTTACATGAAATCTTCTTCTCTTACATGCCTATGCTGTTTCTGGCAATTACTTTAATAGCTTTCATGGGTTGTTTAAGATGTTAAGACATAGAAGAATGCCATCAATGTAATTTCAGTTCTTGGTCTCAGCTATCCATTTTTCTTTTACTTTTTAAGAAACACGAATAAAAGTTAATTCCTTTGATTTGCACTATGGTCCATACTTTTGTTTTTGGCAAAGTTGCTTCTATATATGCAAATTGTTTTACTGTGTTATACTCCCTTCCCACATCTGAACTCATGTTTTGACTTTTCACTTTTTTAAGACAGTGAAAATTTTGTGGTTGAGATTTATAACAGTATTAACCACAAGATCCTTGAAAGATGAGTAGACATTGGGGTTTTTAGATTAGTTTGATTTGTATTGCTTTGATACTCTAACCTGAACTCTTTCACTAGATTGCTGGAATGGGGACTAAGGTACAGTGCAAGACAGTTTTGCCTGCATTCTACTCTGTAAAGGATATAAACGGAAGCTTGAGTAACGGGATGTGTTTACTTAACAACAATGAACAGACAACGCCGATTGGCCAGCATTTTGAATCATTTTCGCTGCGATTTCCAATGGATGGGTATTTTGAATATGAAAAGGAAAATGTGAGGCAAACGATCTTGAAGCACGAATCAACATTCAGGCACCAGGTATTCTTTCTTGTGTTCTTTCATATTTTGACCTTAGAATTTTGACCCTTGATTCATTGCTACATTTATGTAATTTCACATTACCGTCCCAAAGATGATCACATCGCCTTATTTAGTCATCCATAGACATCAAACATGAACCAAACATCCCCTTACGGTAATATTATATTCATGCAATCTTACATTCCTTTACCAGCAGATATCCAATTACCTAACAGCGTGTTTGGGAACTAAAGTTTGGATTTCAAATCCGGATTTGGTTCAAATTCAACGTATGAGAAATCTTGAAACTTTGGATTTGGATTTGAAGCAAATTCCTCTATTTCATTACAGAGCTCAATTGCAAATCCATATGTCTCCCCTTGTTTTATGAAATTCAAGAATTCAAATTTTGAAATTGAAATGCAAGATTTGAAATGAAATGCTAGTTCCCAAACACTACCTCTAAGGTAATTTCATATTCAATTACGAGCCAAATGACCCCTTTATAGACATGCATAAGCGTAGATGTAATGATGGCAATGACTTGAAACATTATGGATATGTACATTCAAAGTATAGCTTAATCTCTCTTCTGATATTCCATGTACTGAATCCAATGTGTTATTGGCCATTCAGCTCCAAGAACTTCACCGTCTCTACAACAAACAAAGGGACCTAATGAGTGATTTGAGAATGAGAGAACTGCACAAGAATCCATTGGAGGTTGAGGGCTGTTTGTCTCACACTCCTCCCGATGAAGCGAAAAGAATGTGGCATGCTAATCATTTTCCCTTGGCCCATCGCCAAGTGTCCTCCTCTTCAGGGATTCATTACCCTCGGGCTCTGTTTGGGTGTAGAGAATCGGCAAATAGGGCTGCCCTTGTTTCCATGCAAGGCAATGAAGCCAAACAAGGCGTTAATCCCGTGAGATATGATACTTATTTAAGGAGGAACGGTTGTCTTGCTGACTTGAATGAACCGATTGTGATTGAGGACGATTATGCCCCAATCTCTCCCTTCAATGACACCCAAAATGGGAAGAAATCCAGTGGAAATCCTTTTGTGGAAAGGAATGACGGAACTTGCCTCCAGAACATACAGTCAATTCATGGAGAGTATAGACATGAGAACTATTCTCTTGACATAAATGCAGGTAAGGGGTTTTTTTTACTTTGTCTATGCCTCTGTGTTTAAGCCGGGGTGTCTTTGAAACAACCTTACACACACCCAGACCCCTATTTTTGTGGGATTTTACTGGCTTTGTTGGGTTTTTTTTTTTTTGCAAATGTGTCTTTTATGTTGTTTTGAGCATTCTGTGTGTCCACTTCAATGCAGATGCTCCCTCATCTGATGATTTGCCTAGGAATACCAATGCAGAAGCGGAGAAGAAGAAGAAAACCATTTTTGGAGTAGTTTTATCAGAGGGCAAAGGAAAACAGATTTCCTCTGCTTCCAGTGTTATTGCTAATATCAGTTCACAGAACCAAAGAATCGAGTTAAATGTAGTCGAAACAGGCAGGAACGGCGACATTATGGTAGAGAAGAGCTATCACATGAATCTTGATTTGCTGCAGAATTGTTCTCATCAGTTCTTCAAGAAATCCGAAGCAGCAGGAGAAGATGCTGCTAATGTTGTTAATAAGAAGATTTTTGGCGTTCCAATTTTCAATTTCTCTGCTGATTCTGGTAAGGTGAACGCAGATGAAGCAGCAACTGCAAATCATTTCGAAGATTCGGATTCTGGTTTGAGAAATCAGATCGATCTTAACGTCTCTCTCCACGAAGAAGAAGAAGAAGAGGCTCCAACGGATCTCGAATCTGAAGAAAACATTGAAGATGTTACAAGACTAGCTGCAGAGGCTATAGTTTCCATCTCATCAATCCCATCATCATCTGGAGATTGCCTCAAATGGTTTGCAGATTTGATTAGTTCTCAAATTGACGAATTATCAACCCTAAATGGTGAAGAAGAAGGAGAAGATGATGATGAGGAGGATTCGATCCCAGAAGGGATGGATTACTTTGAATTCGCGACGTTAAAATTGAGAGACGAGAAGTGTTACGAGCCATCAATTTTGGACGTCCACCACGATGGCGGCGGCGGAGCCGGCGGCGAAGGAGAAACACGAGAAGTAGTTTCCAAACGCCGGCCGAGAAGAAGAGGGCCGGCGGCGAGAAGAGACTTCCAGAGGGACGTTCTTCCCGGGCTGGTCTCCCTCTCGAGGCACGAGGTGAGCGAGGACATCCTGACATTCCAAGAGCTCCTGAAGAAGAGCGGCGGCTCCGTTTGGCGATCTAGAATGTCTCGCGGGAGAAAAGATGGCGGCGGAGGAGGAAGAAGGCGGCGACGAGGTGGGCCCCTGACAGACCACCACCCGATGTGCAGTGATAGTGAAACCACGCCGGAGAAGATGATAACAAGCCTGACCGGAGGATGGGGGAGACGGAGGAGACGGCGGCCGTGGCAGAGGTTTCCGAAGGGCCGCACACACATGGAATGAACCTGTAACATTATTACAAATTCAGTTAGTTGTGTATTTCTTATGAATGTCACAATTTGTTCTATCAATTACTCCGTAGTTAGTTCCTCCATTCCAAAGCAAAATATATTGAAATTATGAATTAAAGCTCCAAGATTTATATTATCCCTTAATTCTAGATTTCCAAACATTTCTGTAAAGTATTTAAGTTTAATATAGGCCTTGTTTACAACATTCTCGATTAATGTCGTCGTTTTGAATAAAATGTTAATGATATTGATTAATTTAGAAAATGTCAATGCTAAAAGCTATTGTTGCACAGTCTTTTCAAAACGAAAACCCTTTATAATGTCTCTTAACGTGAGACTCTTGCATGATTTGCATCCCCTAGCAAACATTTGTATTTCTCTATTATACAGAGTATAAATTTAAATCATCCAAACCCAACTTTTTAAATTTCATCATTCAGAGAGACAATTCTTTCGTACAATCTGAAATATGAGCCTAACAAAAATGCTTAGTTACTCTTTGGATGGTAAGAAGTTGAGGAAAAAGAAAATGCGGAGCCAAAAAACACAAATTTCAATATATTTTTCTTTGTTTGTTTACATAAGAAAATGAAAAGAGGAGAAAAAGTGGATGAACTCAAGTTGAAAAGTTTTCTCATATTATGTGATGATAAAAATAGTATATCAAGAGAAAATAATGTGAAATTATAATTTTAGTTTTCTTCTTACTTCTTCCCGTCTCTTTAAACAGAGGCAAGAATGTCTTTTTTGTTGTATTTCGTGTCACATTTTTTCTTCTCATTTTTTTGAGTAGCTCCCAAACATATTAGTGTAATATCTGTTCACTTTTTTTAAATCTCAAACTTTTTTAGAGGATGAGGCTCGAACATTGTGTATGGAGAGACTATCATATACCTTTTGAGACAACTATTATGATTTTTGACTCTGTTTTCTAGCTATTTTCATTCTCACTATGTCTTTCATATCATATGTTGTGTCATATGAACGATAAATTAACAGTGTAGAACTACTAATCTTTTCATACTTGAAATCCCAAGTTCAAAAAAATCAAACATTAACCCATGAATTCACATACATCCTTGACATGAATGTTCTGCAACACTTCCATATTCCCACACCATTATTCAAGAAACCCAACGTTTTCTTTTCCATCATACCTCGCTCTCTATTCTTCACCGATTCAATCGGAGAGAAGCAGCCGCCATTTCTTCCCCTTCCATCGCCTGCAAAGCTCGCATCTTTCATCGAGAACTGTTCGGACGCAGATTCGTTGAAGAAGCTACACGCCTGCATTCTAACACGCGGCTTCGATCAAGATTCGTGTCTGGGCTCAAAGCTTCTCAGTAGCTACGCAAAGCTCTACCTTTTGCCCGATTCCAGATGGGTATTCCGAAGAATCATCGAAATCGATCGGACTTTTGTTTGGAATCCGGTTTTCGTTGGGTATTTCCGAGCTTCTCGGTACAGAGAAGTCCTGGGGTTGTACTTGGAATTGAAGAGAAGGAAGTTCGACATATATGGGTCGGCAGTGATTTTTACCCTGAAGAGCTGCGACGTGTTGGGTGATTTGAAATTTGGGAAATCCGTTCATCTGGATGTTGTGAAGCTAGGGCTGAACACGGATAAAAATATAGGGTCGTCCGTTGTCAAATTGTATTCTGAGAATGGTGATGTTGAGGATGCAGCTAAGGTGTTCGACGAAATAACTGAAAGAGATGTGGTTGTTTATACAGTGATGATCACGGGCTATTCTCAATTCGGTTATCCGTATGCCTGTGAGGCTTTTAGAATTGCGCGTGAGATGCAGAAGGAAAACATCGAACCGAACAGGGTAACTTTGATTAGCTTACTTCAAGCAGCATCTTCTTTGGGAGCAGTGGAGGAGGGAAATGCAATCCATGGTTATGCTCTCAGAAGAAGGATCGGCTGCACGGACGATGTTTTTGTGACAACTCTAATGGACATGTATATTAAATGTGAAGTCCCGGAAAGGGCCATTGCCATCTTTGTGAATATTCCTGAAAAGAGCATTGGTTCTTGGAATGCATCCGCCACTGCTCATCTAAGGTTAGGGCAGTCTCTGGAGGCTTTGGGACTATTTGTTCAAATAATGACAGAGGAAAAGCACAAGCCTGATCAGATCACAATATCAAATGCACTATCAAGCTGTGCTAATCTCCGGTACTTGTTTGGGGGAAAGAGCATCCACGCTTACATACTCCGATCTGGTTTTGTTTTTGATCTCATCACTACTACAACTCTAATTGATATGTACTTGAAATGCAACTCTCTGGTCCACGCTGAAACAGTATTTGACAAAACGGATCACAAGGATGTGATCCTTTTCAATGTGATGATAACCGGTTATATTCAAAATGGTCTTCCCAAACAAGCCGGGAGATTGTTCTATGAAATGCTAGGGATGGGGTTCAAACCAAACACAAGTACTATAATCAGTGTACTATCTGCAATTTCTGATATGAAAGATGTAAGACAAGGAAACATTATCCATGGCTTCCTCCTCAAAACCGGGCTTGAATCCACCACTGACATATCTAACCAACTCATTGAGGTGTATTCAAGGTGTGGTCTCATGGAATCCGCGAGTCAAGTGTTTGGAAGGATTGAACACAAGGACATTGTATCGTGGACATCAGCCATGATGGGGCATGTTAATAATGGCCAGCCAAACAAAGCCTTGATCTTGTTCCGTTTAATGCAGAGAGAGAAGATCGATCCAGATTCTATAACATTCGTAGCTCTGCTTCAGGCAATTGCTCAGCTTGGATGTTTAAGCTTTGCAAGAGAGACACACGCGCGTGCCCATCGAATGCTAAATGTACGAGACGACATATCTGTCGTTAACTCTCTGATCACAGCATACAGCAGATGTGGTGATTTAAGTGCAGCTAGGTCTCTGTTTGGTAGAATGCCCGAAAGGAATTTGGCTTCGTGGAACACAATCATTGCTGCATATGGAGCACACGGGGATTGTGTTCAGGCACTGGAGTTATTCAACCAAATGAGAGCGGAAAAGGTGGGGCCTGATCACTACACGTTCACTTCTTTGCTATCGGCCTGCAGCCATGCAGGGTCTTTACCAGAGGGTTTGTCTGTTTTCAAAACAATGACTGAAGAACACAGATTAGTCCCATCTGATGAGCATTTTGGATGTGTGGTTGACTTGCTTAGCCGAGGAGGGATGCTCGAGGAAGCATTTCATCTTCTGAACTGTGTTCTGTTGAGAGAAAACACTTCTGCCTTAGGGACATTCATTGCTTCTTGCTTGGCTAATGGGAACGCGAAAATGGGAGAACGGGTAGGGAGACGGTTGTTGAGTATAGAACCTGGGAGTGCAAGCGCTTATGGTTTGGTGTCGAATTTGTATGCTGGACAAGCAAAATGGGAAGAAGTGGCTCAAATGGGAACCATGGCAAGGGAGAAGGGGTTGAGAAGAGTTTCTGGGCGTAGCTTCGTAGAGAACATAGTTTTATGAGGAACGCAAATCGATTAACTTTCCATTCATTCGCCAAATATACAAACTTCAAAACAACACCAAACTGCCTACTCTAACATATAAGTTTTAACTTTTGAATTAATAAAACAGTTGGCTTGATTCTTTGCAGAAGCAAAACTATCCTCGGCTTTAATGCTTATCATCTCATGAACATATTTATTCCTTGCTTTCCAAATACTGTAACAGATGGCAGCCCAAGTTGCTTCTTCTTCTTGCTTCTAATTTGTATGATCTGTTTGCAGAACTCTTGGAAACTCTGCATAAATTTGAAAACTCAACCAGGTAAACATACACTGCTTAATCTCTTGGAAGAACCTGCAATCCCAAAAAAGATTTACATTATGTTCAGTAGGAAAAGAACATAAAATGGTTTTCTCTAATTTTCCTCACCAAAATGCGAGGAATTTTGTTTTCCTTCCTCTTAGTACATTTTGCCTTCTCATTTTCTTTTTCTTCCGCTTTTCTTTTCTTTTCCTCTCTAACCGAACAAGAAAAGCTAGTTTCCATCTCATTTTCTTTTCTTTTCCCTTTCAAATTCCTTGAATCAAACATATTGATAAGATATCCTCTGATCCTCTCCTCCTTGCCCATATAGTGCACAATCAGTATCAATATCCACAAAGTTCTTTAGTCTGCACTTAGTTTGTAATCTGCCCCTCATCACAAGTCAAACCAAGAATTTATGTTTTGGTATGGATAGAGCATTCCATATTCTGGAGTATTGAGTTCTCCTAAGAGTCATTTATAACCTTTTTTTTTAATAATCAAAACACCTTTCACTTGGATCATTTTCCTCCAATAATTAGGAGCATCATATTTAGGTACACAGTCCCAAATGTTGAAGGACTTGATATACCTATTCTGTATCCATTTCACCCATAGGATGTGGCATCTTTTCTGCCACTGCCCACACCATCTTCATTATAATAGTGCTATTCCATTTGACTGAATTTTTTAATCCCAGTCCCCCAAACTCTTTTGGGATTTTACCAATGGAACCTTGATGTACTGATGTTTAGACACTTCTATTTTGTTGATCAAAAATATCAAAATTTGTTGATCAAGTCACTTGGGTGTTAGACACTTCTATTTTGTTGATCAAAAATATCAAAATTTGTTGATCAAGTCACTTGGGTGTTAGACACTTCTATTTTCTAGTCTTTAGTTGAAAACCTTGAAGTTATGGAGAAAATGTTTATTTCTGTGAAGAGAGCTTTGGTGGTGATGAAAAAAGCACTCCAAGATGAAAAAGCCAGACAGTTTCTATTTTTGCTGATGTTCTAATTTACAAAGATGAAAAATAAGTTAAAGTTGGAGTAAAACAAGGTAACACACCTGCATTTAGAGTTTTGACATTCTTTAGGAATGCACTAGAACACTACTTCTTTGAGAAGGTAACAAGTTACATAAACAATTTTTGAATATTATAAAATTTAATTTGCCTTACATTTTTTTAATATTTATATTCAACGGTCCAAAAGGTGGAATTGCCCACCCCAGGCGCCCTCACCCCTAGCCCGACAGGGATGGTGGAGGAGGTAAATCATGGTGACTTAATCAGCCAAGAATGCTAGACTCGTGCCCACCGCGCACAAGGAGCCTCTTCACCCTTTATGGGATTTTTGGATAGCTCCCACACTGCCGCTTGCGGGACTCGATCCCGGGTCATCGGTCCAAGATTTCACATTCTCGACCAACTGAGTTGCCCATGCGGGCTTTAATATTTATATTCAATAATTTATTTGTTAGGGCATTGAGCAAAAATACAACTCCTATAAAACATTTGAAATTAAGTAAATATCGTCCATTGGTCATTATTTATACCTCTTTATCATCCTTGAACAATTGGGAACTTCTCAAGTAATCCATCAAGTTTTTTTTGAAAGTTTGGTTAAAGTTTTACTATCAGTTGTATCTTTTATTTGACTTTTAATTTTTTTTGTTGATTAATAAGAGAATATTATTCTCTCCATTCCATATCTTTCTTTAAAGAACACTATTTCAATATCACAGAAACTTTTATGTATTTGTATTTTTTAATGACCTATATGGTAAAATAAAATATTTTTGTACTTTTGATATACAGAGTACTATTTAAATATGTAAGTTTCATTTTTTATTTCTATACCAATATTTAAATTAAATAAATTAAAAAAATTAGAGATTTTTCTTCATTTTGTGCAACATAAAGAAAGTTATAGAACGGAGTGAGTAACAAACATTCGAAATATTACTTTCTTATCATTTTTTCGTGGAATATAAACTACTCTGTAAGATTTAATAATCATTTTTTGTATTTGATTATTCCTTTTTTGCAATTTTTATATTTTTTATTTAAATACCAATATTTAAATAAAATAAGTTGAAAAACTAGAGATTTTTCTTCGTTTTGTGCAAAGTAAAGAAAGTTATAGAACGGAGTGGGTAACAAACATTAGAAATACTACTTTCTTACTATCATTTGTTCGTGAAATATAAACTACTGTGTAAGATTTAATAATCATTTTTTGTATTTGATTATTCATTTTTTCAATATTTATGTTTTTTATTTAAATGTACCTTTCAATTTTATGAGTATAAAATAAAAAGTTTTATTACATTTTTAAGTGCAAACTAGACATGCATTTATTTATCCCAATTTGTATCTAAACTAATACGAGTACCAAACAATTCCGAACCATACTATTGAATTTATATTTTTATGCAATGCTCACCTCTAATCTTTTACCTCTAATCTTCCTTTATCCACTTCTTCCTACAGTCGTCACACATCTCCGCTCTAAACGGAAATGGCGGCAGCCATGGTTGCATTACACTCGCCAAAACCAACCCTGCTGCAGAGCCCATCATCATCTTCTTCATCACTGAATGAGTTAACTCCCAGCTTCTATCTCGGGTCGCCATTAAAGGGCATCTCTTTACAGGCGCAACCCATAAGAGGCGGAGGGAGGAGACGCCGTGTTGGGTCGGCAGCGATCTCCGCCGTTTCCGGAAGCTCTGCCGCAAAGAGCGGCGGCGGTGGTGATGGAGGGAGGTTTTATATTAATTTTACTGGATTCCCTTTCCCTCTGGGGCCGTTCCTCAACCGGGTCACCATTAGGACTGAGGTGCGGATCTCAAATTGATGAATTTCATAATTTGCTCTCATTCAAGTCAATGAATATGCACATGAATTGCGTCTAAGTTCATTCTATTCAAATCTTGATGTATCAAAAAATTCCTAATGGTCAATTAAATGTGAATGCAGGGGAAAAAAAGAAAAAAATTACTAAGAAAGATTTCAACCTAAAAATATTAGTTTGCAGATGTGATATGACTTAACATTGTAGAGAATGTGTTCACTTAGATTTGCTTGGCATCTATTCTACTGTTTGTAAAGCTGCACTTGTGGTATGATTCTGAAACAAAATAACCCAAAAATGTAATGAAAATCAGATTCCATTTCAGATTAAGAAAAATGCTCAAATCACACAGACATCCACAGACATTGAACAATAACAAGAGTTTGTGGATATCTGTGAGATAGTTGGATGAGTTGTGGAGTGCCCCTATCATGGTTCTTTCCCAGAATTTAAAACAGATTATTCTTAATTGACAGCAGAATCTGTTTTAAAAGTTCTGAAACAAACGCCCTCTAATGTTGAGTCAAGGATAAGTACAAACTGGTATGCTGTCTGGGATATTGTATTCTGCTGTAACATAATTTGTTTCGCTAACATTTGTATGTCGTTATTGATAAATGTGACAGGTGGTGAAAGACTCTATATGGTTGTTTGAACAGGAACAAGCACTTGGCTTCATCAGTGTCTCAACTAACATCAGAATGACTGTAATCAAACTTAAATCGGGCAGGTTATGGATTCACGCACCAATTGCTCCAACTAAGGAGTGCATCCAGGTAGCTCTTAAAGTATCCTTTAGGGCCTTACCCACATCACCCATCGTATAGCAACTCCTACTGCAATTCTCAGATGTTGTTTGCTTGTTGTTTTTAAAACTTAAAAAGGGAAACTCAGGTCTTGTTTGTTTTATGTTTTATCATCGTTTATGCGCTGCGGTGTGGTTTTCCACCACAACCTTGTTTGTTTCCATTTCCATTTTCATGATATGCTTTCCGCTGGTAATTAATGGGGTTTCCAAAGATTTTTAAACTACAAATTTGGTTGGTTTCTATGGTTTAAAAAAAGATCAGTTCCTATTATACCACTTTAAGGCCTTGTTTGGGAAGAGCATTTTTTGTTAGCGTTAGCGCTTTGGATAAAATTTTGATGGTGTAGATTAATCCTGAAAACGCTAAAGGCTTACGTCAGATAATCTCAACGCTAACCTGTAACGCTTATGCCTAACAGGGCCTAAGTCTTTAACTTTTATTAAACTCCTGGATGCCTCATTGTTAGAATACATTGTATTGGCCCATTTTCGTATGTATGCAGCTATAGTTAGCTAGTCTGGCCCGGTCCATGTAGAATAACTAGCTCATTATCAATCATTTGAATATACACATTCTTCACCCATATTATCACAGTAAACAACGACATTGTATACTAATTCCTACTCAACTCCTATCATACCCTATACTATAGCTTTGTATATCATATGATATCACACATGCTTTCCAAACATCGTAAATCGTAATAGTGATTACAGTACGTCAATCATCCACTGCAAATGGCGATTGCATCGTCTTTGATCAACTTTATTCAATCTTCAGTTTCTTGTTATTCTAAGCATTAGCATTTGAAGTAAACTTTTTGCTTTCTGCAGCTTGTGAAAGAGTTGGGATATCCCGTGGAATATATTGTGTTGCCTACATTTGCATATGAACACAAAATATTCGTTGGCCCATTCTCCAGAAAGTTTCCACGTGCTCAAGTATGGGTGGCTCCAAGGCAATGGAGTTGGCCTTTAAATCTTCCGCTTGAGTTTTTTGGGATATTCAATGCCAAACCCTTACAAGATGGAGACCTGTCCACTCCGTGGGCTGATGAAATTGAGCAGAAAGTTCTTAGTTCTCCAGAAGTTGGTAATGACTTGATGAATCTTCCTAACTTGATCCAAGTAATGAGTAGTAGAGGCAGATCTAATTGAAGAAATTTATTACAATTCTTTTTTTAATTAAAAAAAAGAAAGAACATGACCCTAATGAAAAGAAGAAGAATTCTTTTAGCTAGAGTCTAGAGAAGCATATTTGAGTAAGAAGTAGAGTTTCAGGAGTGTTGGACACTTGGACCTAACTCACGTTTATATGTAGAAACCGATGTAGGATAGTCAAAAGAACACACTTATGAGGTGAGCAAATAGGCTAAACACAAACTGAAATGGGCTGCCCCAAATGCACCCCACAAACAAAAATGGTACCAGACACTGATTCAATGTGAATTGGGCCTAACTAACTTCAAAAAAATCCTCAAGAAGTGAGAAACCCCCTACAGCGACTTATGTGTTGGATACTGGGCAAAAAAACACATTTACATGAAAATGAATTCTTTTGGTGGGAGGACCAAATTAGTGTAGGAAATGGAGTATTGTGCAGTAATCTAAATTGCATGGTCTACACGGCCTTTCTTGTTTCAGGTATTGGACCTTATGTGGAGGTGGCATTCTATCATAAGCGTTCACAGACACTATTAGTGACAGATGCTGTAATATTTGTTCCTAGGAGTCCTCCTGAGTGTATTAGCAAGGAGTCTCTACTCAAATCTGCAAAGAATGGTGTGGCTGTCAAAATCCTCAGTAAGGGGAAGCAAGTCCCAGATGAGCCTATTGTCGACACCAAGATGAACCGGCAGAAAGGTCTGTTCTTTTACTAAATGGCTCACTGTGCTTCATTGTAAGGGGGCGTTTGGTGCAAGTGGTCTCATTTTGCCTCCGTTAATGTAGTGTGTGAGGTTACCTTGTTTTGATTCAGGTTTTAGATTTCCAGACAACCTTGGGTTTCTCACCTTGTACCTAATAATGTAACAACATACTCCTTCAATCCCAAAAAAAAACAATTGCTTTTCAAGGAGTTTAAGAAAAAAATGAAATTGTATGATAAAGATAATGTGAACCATTTATTTCTTTCCCTAAATGGAATGAGAATCTCTTTTTGGGACAATTGCATTTCGTGAACCAAAGAGCTTGTACAAAAGGAGTGATTTTTTAACTCCTGTAATCTTTAAGTCCCAAAATCTTTCACTGCCTTCCATGAAAGGTAACCCTATTACCCAAGGTAGTCTTACATCCTGTGAACCAAATGCACCCATTGGGACAGGAAAGATGGCAACAGAAGACGAAAACAAACATTTGATTTTTTTTTCTGGTTTTGCAGGATGGGAAAGGATGGTTCTTCAGATACTGTTCCTGGGACCGTCAAATCTTCTAGAGCCAAACACTAGCTTTGCTCAAGTATCACAGAAACTTATTGTTTCACCCATTGTGAAGACATTGGTATTCAGCAAAGTTCCTGAGAAGGTATGCTTACTACTTCTTTATATGCCAAGATACAGCACCTCTTCATTAGCCACTTCAAATTAATAAAGCAACATTCTTGTTGAATATATAGCCCTTTTTACATGTTATCAAAGCCTAGGCTTGGCAGCTCAAAATAAGATGTCTGATATATGCAAGCAATTGATACCATGAGACAAAAAGACCCAAGTTGCACTAGAGGAGAGATGTTGAGGTTTTGAGGATATAATCCAAGATCGAACACTTGCTAAAAATGACTAACATACTCCCCCATCTCTTAAAAATTTTCCTCGTTCATTTTTTTGCTTGCCCGAAAAGATCTTCTCCCTTTGGCCTTAATGTACATAAATGCTCGTTTTTTTACTAAATCTAACCTAACCGGTCCCAACCCTCTTCTACGCCTTCCATATTCTGACGTTTTCCAAATCATACTCATATCAACTCTTGTCATTTACCATTGGTCAAACTTCAACAGCTTCCCCTCCCAAAAATCAAAACATGGATTGTTTTTAGGGATGGAAGAAGGATACGAATATGATTTGCTCCTCCCATCGCCGATTGGTTTTGGGTTGAAATATCATATTTATTCAGCTGCATACCATGAATGCGGCTCTAGCCATACATGAAATTTTATCTTGTAATATCTTTGCTAATGTGGGTATCATCATCATCATCATCAGGTTAGAGATTGGGTGGACAGCATAGTGCATGACTGGAGGTTCAAGAGAATAATCTCAGCTCATTTCTCCGCGCCGATCAATGCAAGGGGATCAGACTTGTTAGCCGCGTTTGCGTTCCTAGACGATCTGCTAGGTGCCCCAAGGAGACCGATGTCTTTCTCCCTTTTCTTGACATCACTGTTAGGGAAAGCATCAAGCTATTTTCCTCCCGATGATATGAGGACTCTGTCATCCCTTGATGACTTCTTGGTCTCCATTGGAGCTGTTAAGAGAACCATCTCTGGCCGAAAACAATGATTCACTGTGTTGTACATTTTTACCCAAAATGCAAAACAATTCCTCCCTGTGAATTTACATTGATAATGGAGCAGTTTGTTTAGTGAAAAAAAAAAGCTAGGGGGACACTAAGCTTGTGCCCTAACTTGCACACTTATGTGTCATTGACATACACATATAACAATTGTTGTATGTGTGTGCGTAATATATTTGGTGTGCAAGACGGGGCACGAATTCGGTAAACGAGAAATAACTTGCTGAAGTTAGATCAAATCCGATTGATCCTAATTTCTAAGCTAATTTTTTTCTTCAAAAACAATATGAAATATAATGAGTAATACAAAATATAATGTGATTTTGCTTGTTGCTTCTTTGTCGTGATGTGGTGTGAGCTTTTTCATAAAATAGTCAAAAGTTTTGATTGTGAATTACTCTGTTCTAATTACTCTGTTCGCAAATCATTTTATATAAAAAGTAATGTAAAATTTAAAAATAAAAAATTGTAAATTCAAAAACTACATCAAAATATTTACTCCTTCCGTCCCATTTTAAATTGTCTGTTTGCCTTTTTTCTCCTTCCCAAAATAAGTTGCATGTTAGTTTTTTCGTAAACTTTTAAAAATAAAATACCTAAACTACCCCTAAAATAAGTCACTCTTCTTCACCTAATCTTTTCATTCATCATCATCCCTTCTAAAATGTAATGATAATTTTGAAAAATCAACTCTATTTTTTATTTTCTTTAAATATGCCCAAAAGTCAAAACAGATGATTTAAATTGGGACGGAGTGGTGACAAGATTATAATATTGTCAAATTCTTAATGAAAATAGGAAAAGAAAACTCATGAAATTTGACTCTATAAATAACAAATATGCCAGTTTCGACTTATTCCAAGACAAAAATAAGTTTACTTTCTTTTCTTATTTTTGTTACTCATTTGATATAAAATAATACGGAGTATAATATAGTCACATCTTGTTTTGTAGAGCTTTTTATGTAGTTTTTGATATATAAATTTTATTTTTTAATTCTCTTCCAATTCTCAAAAATAAACACTCAAAAATAAACATTACAAGAGAGCTTTTTATAATGCTCAGTTCCATTACATATATACACCTTTGCCGTTTACTGGGAGAATGATGCTTCTTTGTCCACAGGAGAAGAAGCACCCAAAGCGCCCGAAGAAGAACCGGACTCCCTCCTGAATACAAGTTTGGCTTGGGGAAGCTGACCGTTGGGAACCGCGGATACCTCGGTGTCGACCAACACGGTGTCCTCGTCTCTGAAGTCTCCCCTCAAGATGCCCTTTGCTATCTCATTCTCCACGTTCTGCTGAATCGTTCTCTTCACGGGCCGGGCCCCGTAGCTCGGATCGTACCCGAGGCTTCCCAGCAGCTCAACCGCAGCTTCACTCACTCGTAGCTTCATTTTCCGGTCGGACAATCTGTGCTGCACGCGTCCCAGCTAAGTTGACCAATAAAAATCAGTTAGTCAACAAACAAGCACCTATATGTTTGGTTCAGAGAAGTTGAATGAGAAAAGAAAAGAAAATGAAAGAAAAAAGAATTTTTCTTGTTTGGTTAGAGAAGCAAAGAAAAGTAAATGCAAAGACAAAACGTACTAAAACGAGGTAACAACAAATTCCTCATCCTTGAACCAAATGTAGAGTTTAAGATAGGTTAAAAAAAGTAAAATTTGCACTAATTAGGACTAAAACATAATAACTTTCCCAATGTAGGACTTAAACTTTTTTATTCCCTAAATAGGACTTAATAATGACCTAGTGGGAGGAATAATGTCCAGTAATGATGGACATTTTACTTGAATAATGACTACTTGATAATGACCAAAAGTCTTACATTGGGAAATAAAAACATATGGTCCTATATTGGAAAAATCATTATATTTTAGTCTTATTTAGGTAAATTTCTCTAAAAAAAAGTAAAATTGGTCTTGAAAAACAGACCTGTAATCGGACGATACTCTTGATCTGCTCGCGATCAAGGGGCTGGAACACTATGTATTCATCAACACGGTTCATGAATTCAGGGCGAAAAATGGCTCTTGCAGCCTCCATCACCCTTTGCTTTATGGTTTCATAAGACAGCTCGCTCTCGTCGAGCGAATTCAGAATGTACTGTGACCCCACATTTGATGTCATAATGATGACTGTGTTTGTGAAGCTCACAGTGCGCCCCTGGGAGTCGGTGACCCTACCATCATCCAAGATTTGAAGGAAAACATTGAACACGTCGGCATGTGCCTTTTCTATCTCATCAAACAAGATGACCGCGTAGGGTCTCCTACGGACAATCTCAGTCAACTGCCCTCCTTCCTCGTACCCTACGTACCCGGGTGGGGCACCTATTAGTCTTGAGACTGCATGTTTCTCCATGTACTCACTCATGTCGACACGCACAAGAGCTTCCTCTGTGTTGAACAGATAGGTCGCGAGTGCCTTGGCTAACTCTGTCTTTCCAACACCCGTGGGGCCCATGAACATGAAGCTAGCAATCGGGCGGTGCAGGTCCGAAAGACCGGCCCGAGACCTCTGAATTGCTTCGGCCACGGATCTGACCGCTGGGTCTTGGCCAACAACCCGTTTATGGAGTTCTTCCTCTAAATGCAGAAGCTTTTCCCTTTCAGACTGTTGTAGCTTGGAGACTGGGATTCCAGTCCATTTGCTGACAATCTCTGCAATGTCGTTCCCAGTAACTTCTTCTCTAAGCATGGATTTCCCAGACTTCAAGTATTCGTCTAACTCTTTCTCCGCGGCATCAAGCTGGCGCTGCAATGAGTTTAGGCTACCATACTTGAGTTCAGCAGCACGGTTGAGATCATACTCCCTTTCTGCCTGTTGGATCTCAAGATTCACCCTATCAATCTGAAAACAATACAAGTTCGATCAGTTTTAGATCTCAAAACTCAACAAAAATTATGATTAGGAAATCAGAATTGCATACCTCTTCCTTGATGGACTGCAAGTGTGTCATGACAGTCTTTTCATGCTCCCACTGCTGATTCAGTTCAGAAACGAAGACGAAATCATCTCTGTTGAGTCAGAGTTCCGCTAAATTGGCTAGAAACCTACGAAACAGACACAGTAATCATTCACTATCGGAGAGGTAGAGGTAGAATTCTTGACGTGCCAACTAGAGCAGTTCCCGACACCCGAAACTCCATTAAAGGTAAAAGTTAAAACGACGTCGAAGTAGGTGATGATCAATAGCTGCAATGAGAGAACAGAGTCAGAGTTCTCTAGGAATTCAGATCCAAACACTGCATTCATAAAAAAAATTAGGAGTGCATCAAACCCTTGTCAGGTAAAAAGCGTCCACTGATGTAACGATCAGAGAGAACTGCAGCATCAACTAATGCACTGTCCGATATGCGGACCCCATGGTGAAGCTCATATCTTTCGCGGAGCCCACGGAGTATAGAGACAGTGTCCTCAACGGTGGGCTGGTCAACATAGACTTGCTGAAAGCGACGCTCCAATGCCGGATCTTTTTCAATATATTTCCGGAATTCGTCCAATGTGGTTGCACCAATACAACGCAACTCTCCACGGCCAAGCATCGGCTTCAACAGATTGCCAGCATCCATGGCACCATTCGTGGCGCCTGAACATAAACATTATTAGGGATAAATTTGTCTTTAAACCATACATTTATTCTTCTTTCTTTTCTATTTCCTTATTTCTCTCAATCCAAAGAACATAAAGATCGACTCTGTACTAAACTTTATCTTCTCCCCCACTTTCTTTCCTACTTCTCCCAAACAAAGCATGTGGGGAACTCCAGCACACAACAAGGATCAAATGTGATCTTTTGTGCAACGATGACACAGCAAGTGACAAAAGAAAGAAGAATGTTACCTGCACCAACTACAGTGTGAATCTCATCAATGAAAAGGATAATCTGCCCATCAGAGTCGGTCACTTCCTTGAGCACTGCTTTAAGCCTATCTTCAAACTCACCCCTATATTTTGCACCAGCAATAAGTGCTCCCATATCAAGAGAGATCAACTGCACATACGAAGTGAAATCATTTAACATACTTAGCACATCCAGGTCAATGCAATACACGCACACACACACACACACATATATGACACTCACCCTTCTGTTCATCAAGGCTTGTGGGACATCTCCTTGCACAATTCTCTGGGCAAGCCTGTTAATCAGTAATCAGATGCCAGAACAAGCAATAAGAAGATTATTAAATCAAACTCTAAGGTTATGTTTGGGACATGAAAATGGTAGGGAAAGAGGGGAAAATAAAAATAATGGTTCGTATGTTTGTTTTTTGCTAGGAAAAACAAATTTGGTTTTGTAATGTTCACATATAATAGAAATGTATATATATATATATATATATATATATATATCTAAAATTCGTACAGAGTATTCATATAATGGAAGTATATAAATAATAAAAAATTGAAAATTTATCTAAAACAGATTGAGTTTAATTTTTTTCTCCAAATTTTCTACCCCAATTCTTGCTTATGTTTTTTCCTAAACATTTTCCAGGTTCCAAACAGACCCTAAGCAAAAATTCAAGCCTAAGCATAATGATCCATAGAGCTAATGACGAATTTTCAAAATAAAATTCCTGCATTACCAGCAAGGCATGGCTATAAACAAAGCACTGCAAGAAACTGTGCATACCCTTCAGATATTGCAGTTTTTCCAACACCTGGCTCTCCAATTAGGACAGGATTGTTCTTAGTTCTCCTAGAAAGGATTTGAATGCATCGACGTATCTCATCATCTCGGCCTATAACAGGATCAAGCTTTCCTGTCCTTGCCATTGCAGTCAAATCTTTTCCATATTTTTCCAGAGCTTCATACTTTCCTTCAGGATCTGCACAAAATTTATGAAAAAGATTAATAAGTGTCCAGCAAGAACCAAGTATTACAATTCATCACCTATTTAATGATTCAAAAGTTATTAACAAAAAGCATCAGGTCGTAGCATGAGCAAAATCATATACTCCAATTACCTAGACTCACATTTCTTAAGCATAAAATAAAATAATGAGGAAATCAAGCAAAAGAGCAAAATTGTTAAGACCTTGATCAATAACAGTTTGGCGTCCCCTAATGGCCTGTATGGCATCTTTTAGACTCTTGTCAGTAATTTGAAAATCTTTAAACAGCTGCTTTCCGAAACGCCTGTCTTGTGCAAAGCTAAGCACCAAATGCTCCACTGACACAAATGAATCACCATATTCTTTCTTAAACTCTCTGGCCCGCTGGATCAATGTTTCCATGTCTCGCCCCAACATTGAACCTGCTGACTCGCCAAGAACCTGATATGATTTTGTATGGAAAAACAAAACGATTACAAGTGAGCTTGCTTTCAAATAGGAGGGAACTATATTAAGCTTTCTCATTTGAAGACCAGAAATAAACTATGTTGCAATTACAAACAATGCATGAATGTTCACCCTTCACCCAAACACTAGGTATCAGAACTGAGCACTAAAGTTTAATATGTATTAAAAAACCCAGAAAGGGTACCAATCTTCAATTTTTCTTTTGTTCCAGCCCCAAATGCTGCCCAATGCTATCATATGTATTATCCAAACTTGGATTGACTTTAATCAAGGTATAAGCATGATTGCATGAGTTGTTTATAAGTCTTATCTTTGATTAAACCTATTTGATTAAAAAAATTATTTCAGCTAAATTGTCCTACCAAACAAGCTCAGTATTAGAAAACTGGGATCATAAATGATTGGCGTGGAAACCCAACTGCTGCAGTCTATAAAATTGACTAGATTAAGTGTCCATTTTGATACAACTTAAACACAAATACACAATATGATGCATGAAGCCCTGTTTGACATATGTGCATTTTTTCCCATGGCACATATCCTTAACGCTATGTTTGGTTCAAACAATTTGGAAGGGGAAAGAAAAGAAAATGGGTTTCTCTTATTCTCCTCATCAAAATGGGGAGAATTTGTCTTCTCATTTTCTTCTCCTTTCCACTTTTCTTTTTATACCCCTCTAACCAAACCTGAAAATTTGTTTTCCCTCTTAATTTCTTTTCTCTTTCAAATTTCTTGAACCAAACATAGTGTAAAAAAAATTCCAATTGTGGCGCTTCGCGACTCTTTCTTCCACAATGTTAATGATCATTTTTCAATGGGCTATTCAGTGGGCATTCAGCTTAGGAAAAAATGAGAATCAAACAAACAAACAAACAAACCTTAGGTTGTCGTTCAATGAAACGAACGGTCGCTTCAAGCAGACGGGTATTATCCACACCAGCCTTGGAAAATATCCGGCGAGCAAGCCCATTCTTTTGCTCCAACAGTGCCTTCATCAAGTGCTCCGTCTCTACTATCTGGTGTTTGTTTTCCTTTGCCACTTCGGGCGACATCACTATAGCTTGCCATGCCATCTCCGTGAACTCTTGCTGAGTAACAGCCTGTTAACCCCCAAGTTTCAACAGAAACACATCAATCTTCTACGATCACAATCATATGAAAGCAAGAAAGCGCATATGCAGGATTAAGTAACTACCTTTCCGCTGGCGGCCTCGCATAGGACAACTAAAGACCTAGACTTTTTGTCGAAAATCGAATCTTTTCTGTGCAGTTTGAGTGAAATTAGGGTTCTGTGCCGCGGAGGTTTCGGCGAGAAGTTGGTTGATAACGGCGGCGGAAAAGAAAAGGGAGCTGCTCTGGTGGAGGGCTGGACGCCGCAGCAGTGGACACCGGAAAACGACGCCGTGGTTGCCATTGACGGTGGATTCTTCGGCGAATGAGAAAGAGAGAAGAAAATGGGGTTTTTGGATTGAACTTGGAAAATGAGGCGAAGAAGAGATTGCTGACGTATAGGAGGTGTGTTAAAGGTTCATAGCCTTCTTCTTCTTCTTCTTCTTCTTCGAAGGGAAGGGAGGAATAAACAGTGGAGTGTTCTGGGGGGCGCTGGAACGTCCGCGAGAGTGAACTTCTACCCATACATTGTGTCTCCACTTGACACTTTTGTCCTATTTACATCTAGAAAAATGCTAGAGGTACACCCTATCCCATTTCTTTCTCACCCTCTCATCCACCACATAAATGGACAAAAAACTTAAAAATAAATAAATAATTAAAAATGAAATAATGAAAATGGGGTGGGGGAAAAATGGGGTACCCCTATCATTGCTCTTACATCTATATAAATTAAACAAAAATAAATCATTATATTTAATTAAATTAATCAGAAAAAATAACTTTAAATTAAATAAAATAATACGTACTATATATACATATTTAGTTCCCTTTATCCTAATTTAAATCTCCTGTTTCATTTTACTTTACGATGTTTGATTGAAGTTATTTTAAAATCTTTTTATATGGAAAATGATGGTGATTTAAAAAATAAAAATTACATATTTAAAAACTATATTTGTTATCAAATAATAAACAAAAATAGAAAAAGACAGTAAATGAAGTTTGACCTTGTGAATAGTGACATGTGATTCAATTTAGGCCCAGGGAGTGACAAAAAAAGAAAATAACAAGTATGACTGTATGAGAGATACCTCCTTCTCATAAACCCAACTCTTAAAATCAAAAAGTCAACTTTAAAGATAATTACTAACTCACCACTCTCTAGTGTTTGAAATTGGGTTCTAATTGGATTTAAATACCAAACCATCTCCCATTACCATCACCCTAAGTTGTAACAGGGTTTGAATAACCTCTCAAAAAATGTTAGGGGGTTCCTTGTGCGTAGTGAGCACTAGTCTCAGCCTCTCTTGCCGGTTAAGTCTCCAACAATTTACCTCTCTTTACATTTTCGTTGGTAGTAGTGATGGGCGTTCGGGGTGAGCGATTTCACCTTTTGGAACAAGGGTTTGAGTAAGCGATAGGTTTGAAAATTTTAATTATTGAATCTCCCATCTCTCTCAAAAGTAATTTTCGTTTTGTAATTTATAATATTTGTTTGAAATTATTTCTAAATTAATGTATTTCAAATTACCTTACCTTAAAATTCAAAAAAAAAAAATATTTAAAAATTATGTAAAAAACTTTACAAAATACGTGGTGACAAAGTCATGCATTTTTTTACTCTCTTCCGTCTGCCATAGATCTTTCCAAATCGATTTTTTTAATTTTTAAAGAGAGTTGAGAAGAGTGAACGTTTACTAAAATCAATTGGTTACTAAAATCAATTGGTGTGTTTGTCTGTTAGGAAACTTGAATTTGGATTTAAAGTCTAGAATTAATCTAAATTACATGTTTGGAAACTTAAAAAATTTGGGTTTGAATTTGGACAAAATTCTTCTAATTCGAAACAAATTCATTCACAAAGTCACATCTCTCCCCGTGTCATTTACAATTTCAAGTCCAATATTTCTTTAATTTATACTCCGTGACTTGCAATTAAAGAGTAATCTCTCCATATATAATACTCCGTAATAATTTCATACATATCAACCACCTTCTTTTGTCATTTTTGTCGACTTTAAAATTCAAATTCTAGAATTAAAATTTTATGATTTTCAAACAACACTTAAAATTTAAAATTATAGGAGTCTTGCTGTTTTTTTCAAATCCTTTTGCATTTTCTAATTCTTTCTATTTTTCTAACTCCTTCAAATTTATTCTAACAATTACTTAAATAAATACTCCGTGAAAGTAGAAAGTACAAATATAAAAAAGAAACAATTAAAGAACAATTCCGTTGTAGTCTAGTTGGTCAGGATACTCGGCTCTCACCCGAGAGACCCGGGTTTTAAGTCCCGGCAATGGAATATTTTTTCTCTTTTTGGTGGCAAGAACTACGGTTTTTGAAAAAAGAAAATCTTTAAAAGTAAAACAATATCAAAATACGATTTTACCCTCTTAAATTTGCCCCTTTTGCTGTTTTTAACCAACTAGTATCACACCCGTGCGTTGCACAGGTCATAGTTACGGTACTAACTTAAGATCATTTTTAGAAATATAAATTGGTATATAATGGAATATAGAGATTTCATTATTTTAAAGTACAAAAGTAAAATGAGTTACAAATTTCGAAAGACTTCTTTATAAACTAAATCACTCGTATGTATAATTTGTATGAACATTCACTTCGTTATATATCAGAATCTTCAAGCCATTGCGATTTATTACTCTTTAAATAGAAATCATCATAAATAGGACTAAAACATAGATAAAAGTACTAAAATAGGACTTTCATGTTTTTTCCCCCGAAATATGACTTTGCACTGTGGTAATGTGACTTTGCCCTGCGGTAATGTGACAGTGTACATGTGCAAATTACTATACGTTTTTGGTAATGTATATGACCATGTATGGTAATGTAAGTCCTATTTCGGGGAATAAAAACATGGAAGTCCTATTTTGGTATATTTTCAATGTTTTAGTCCTACTTTGGTCTTTCACTGCAACATACACTTTCTCATGACTAAATATCAGTTTTTGTAACAATAATTCAATATGTTTCAGATATTGTTCTTGATAATAATTCAATAATTTGACTTATCTAAGTAATAATTCAACATATTAATGTATTTATTTTGGAATTTGTATTTTTTAATTTTATTTTCGTATTTAAGTGGTACCATTAACTTACCCTATGATATTTATTTTCTATTTTATTTTAGATCACTTTCCATTTTTACACGTATCCATGTTTGTAAATTATAGTATTAATAGTATTTATTTTAGAATACTTATACCATTGTTACATGTTTCCATGCTTATAATATTAATAGTATTAATTTATAATTTTTAAATTTTTGCATTAAAATGGTACCATTTCCTTAATGTACCATATTTATTTTTTAATTTATTTTATAACACTTACCATTTTTACACGTTACCATCCTTGTAAATTTTAGTATTAATTGATAGTATTATTTTGTAGTTTTCTATTTTATTTTTTTTATTTAAATGGTATCATTTACTTACTGTACCGTATTTATTTCTAATATATTTTAGAATAATTATCGTTTTAATAATTATTTTATTTTATAATTTATTTAGAACACTTACCTAATTTATTTTAGAACACTTACCATTTATTTTATTTTGTGTTTAAATGGTACCATTTGCTTATCGTGGTGACATACCATTCCGTATTTATTTTCTAATTTTCTATTCCGTATTTATTTTCTAATTTTCTAATTTAAACACTTACCTTTTTAAAAAAATCATGTTTTTAAAGTATAGTATTAATATTAATTTTGCAGTTTTTTATTTTATTTTAGTATTTAAATCGTACTAATTACTTACCAAACCACATTGTTTTCTAATTTATTTTAGAACACTACTTATCATTTTTAGATGTACTCTCTCTGTCCCTAAATAGATTACAATTTTTTTCTCTCCTCTCGATAACTTTTGTTTGTTTACGCGATTTCATTAAGTATTTGATAAAATAAAATATTCTTATCACTTCTTATTTTGTAGAACTTTTGACGTAGTGGTTTAATATGTAATTTTTATATCTTATTGATATATCAATTTGTAAATAAAATGAGTTCAAAAAGTAATAAATTTTGCTCCGTAACCCGCAATTTGTAATGAAATTGGGGACTGAAGGAGTATTTTATTTTCTCTTTTATTTTAGAACACTGACCTAATTTATTTTAGAAAACTTACCATTTATTTTATTTTCGTTTTTAAATGGTTCTAATTGCTTAACATACCATATCTATTTATTTTCTAATTTTCTAATTAGAACATTTGTCATTTTTAAAACTTTTTCATTCTTTTAAATTATAGTATTAATATTAATTTGTAGTTTTTTATTTTATTCTTTTATTTAAATGCTATCATCTACTTACCGTACCATATTTATTTTCTAATCTATTTTAGAAAACTTACCATTTTTACGCGTTTGTGCTTGTAAATTATAATATTTTTTAATGATAACTAATTAATTTGTAGTTTGTTTGAAATAAATCAATTTAATCCTGCCCATACTTTATTAATTTGTAATTTTTAAATTTTATTTTTAATATTTAAATGGCAATGTATTTTATTTCCATATTTCAATTCCCAATGGTTCACTATTATTTAATTTAATTTAATTTAAATGTTTAAATGGTGTAACATTTAAGTAAAAATAAAAATAAAAACATACTTAAAATGGAAGGAAAACATTAAGGTAAAATAATTAAACTACCATTTATGTTGTCAACACTTTCCATATATGAGTGTCATGCATGGGTGAGAAAAAATTCATGTCTTTTTAAATAATGTATAGATAAGCGTCAAAACTCACATCATTAATTGTTATTGGGCCACATGTAAATTCAAAGTCTAATTTACATCCTCTCAGCGACCGTTCAGTCGCACTTGAAGAGACCCTCGAGGTTGGGGCTCGTCCTTTTGTTAATGCGCCACATCTACAAGGATAATAGGGCTTCTCTCATGATAAAGAGTGGAAATATAATTTTTGCAAACTTTTTTTAATTCTACAAGGACAATAGGGCTTTTCCCATGATAAAGATATTATTTTAGATAAAAGGGTCTGGGTTAAAATCTGATTATTTGTAAGCGATGCATGCGTACTTTCCTTATTTTGGTATGGTGCTACATTTATTTTATCTTTGCTTTTGTGTTGAGTATGGAGTTTTTGTGAACAATCTCTCTATTTTTAAAGGTATCTTTTTTCAGTTGAAATGTTAAAGTTGGTGGTAGAAAAAACTAGAATAAGATGAAATAAACTAGAATAAGATGAAAAATTAAGTCTTCAAATATCACTCGATTGAACAATCGTTCAAATAAATACTTCGTATGTAAGAAAACTAATTTTGGATAAAAAAAATCATCTTTGACAGTCTTTGGGTGATATGTTATAAATTTGGATGTATGATGTTTTTGTTTATTTATTATATGTAAAAACATTTTTTTTAAATCATTGTTATTAAAACCTAAGAGCTGGAAAAAAATTAAAATTTTCAACCCCATAGAACAGATTCTAAGTACCGATCATTTGTAATTCTGAAAAGTTACAAGAATTTCTTCAAGACAAGCCGTTCACCGTTCCGTTGTAGTCTAGGTGGTTAGGATACTCGGCTCTCACCCGAGAGACCCGGGTTCAAGTCCCGGCAACGGAAATCTTTTTCTTTTTTTATCGCTGCCAAAAATTCTGCACTGAATTTGGCCTTTTGTTATAAGGAGTATCTTATTTTGGCTGACAAAGAAAAATACCTTCCCCCACCCTTTTTTTCTTTTGGACAGCTTAAAACGTTACTTCTCCAACTTTTGAAAATTTCATAATTTTCTTATTTTGATCACTATAGAATACATTTCAAGCTGCATTTTCATTTTAACTCTTGGATTCTAGTCCATCACTAATAAAATGGATTACTCTTAAAAACTTTTTCTATTTTGATTTTTTTGTTATTTAGATAAAAAATTATGAGAAAAATATATTAAATTATAATATAAATTAAATATAATTGAGTTCATCTTAGGATATAATTTTGATATATCAAATTTTTATACTATATATTGATTTAGATTATGTTTAATTTATGGTCAAGGATGACACTATTTGACTAAAAAAGTCAAAACAAAAAGAGCTTTTAGGACCACAGAGAGTAGTAAGTATTTTTTGAGTATTATTAACTTTATTACAATATAACATTTGTCGATACTTACATATTTCTCAATTAGTGAGTTGAGTTTGAACATGTGACCTCTTATTTGAAGAGATAGTTATGTCGCTCAACCATAAGCTCTTTGTCAAGATGTCAATTACTACTTTTGTCTCCGAATATATATTCAGTTTTAACTTTTCTGAGTCAATCGTTTCCCATCTTCGATCTAAAGTGTATGTGTATTAGTTGGGCACAGTTCTGTTCACATTGGGCCAAAAGTGCCACTCTGACGCTATTGCATTATTTCGAGTACCTTCGGTGCTTCATTTACAAAATTGATGGTTTCTACCCCTAAACTAGTCCCAGCCCCCAAGCCCCCTCTCTGAATGTGTGGCTATCACGCAATAGGGGCTTAGGAGTGGGGGGTTTTGGGGGAGAAATTGAGATGAGTAAGAATTATCAATTTTGTGAATGAAACACTAGAGGCGCTCCAAAAAAAGCAACAACACCAGTATTGACATTGTTGACCAGTGCCAACGGAATTTTACTCATATTAATTAGATAAAATACCATTTTGGAAAATTTTATAAAATAAATCTAATGAATTTATTTTTATAACAATATGTAGTATCACTTTTATTTAATTTATGATCTATTTTTACCAAATTGAATAAAAATACTTAAAAATGAACAAAATACTCAAGGACGAAGGTAGTATTATATTTAGAAAAAAATATGATTGAAACAAAATGCACCTAAAGAAATGATTGATGATTTAAATCTTAATTGTTTATAAGAGCACTAATTTGGTGATCCATCAATATTATAAAAAACTAAAAATATTAAATAAGGTCCACAAAATGAACGTAACCCTAATGCCTACCAAAATATTTGCCTATTTTATAAATACTCACCATGTGAATATATATATATATATATATATATATATATATATATATGCATGCTTTCAGCCTGTACAACTTAAATTATACAACTGGTTGTACTTAAAGTTGGATACAATCGACCTCAAAATGAAACAACGAAGAGTAGTCGCGAGAGAGCTGGATTGCCTCAAGGAGAACCCTAGGTGCGGCACGGCAGAAGAGCTGGATTGCTGCATGATTGCATGGAAGAGCGGCAACGCTAAGTGCGGACAGGAGCGACAATTCAAGCGCTATTCATCAGGGAGGAGCCGAGAAACCCTAGGTCTAGCGATCGTTGATGCCTCGTGGAGATTTGCAGCAATAACAGCGATGAAGATGACGATAATTATGCTAATTAGAGTAATTTGGAGTAATGTAAATTTAATTAGACTATAAGATTATATTTTTCAAATCTGAAAAAATGAATGGTACTTTACTTGAAAATGAACACTACGTTATTTGAGAATGAGCACTAGTTTGTTTCAAAATAAATATTATGTTATTCATAAATGAATATTATAATTGTATTGAATAAATGTGTGAAAATGAGTACTTTGTTATTTCAGAATGAGTACTACGTTATTTCAAAATGAACACTTAAGTTTGTGCAAGAATGAGTACTACTTACTTCAAAATGAGTACTATCCGGTTGTACCTTACTACTAGTACAGCCGGCTATACCATATACCTTCTCTTCAGCCCGAGTTATATTTTCAAAAGCTTGCCAGCTCACAAGTCAAGCTGTTGAGCTCAACTCGAGAAATTATGAAATTCCAAAAGAGTAATACTGAGTTGAAAGAAAGAGAGGATAACATGATCAAAGTATACATACATTCATGAAGCACCAAGACTGTCACGGTTGTTACATTGTTTATAAAACACTTGTGTTTTCTTCTTCTTGAAGAATTAAAGATAAAAATAAAGAATAAATGGAAAACATAAAGAAAGTATCATAACTGTGAAATTTTGTATAAACAGACCAGATGATGTTCTTCTACACAGAAACTAAATTTGTTTGAAGGGGCATGAATGACTTATAATTCCTCATGCAAGAAGACGTGGGAGTATTATAGGGCTTGGTAAAATATTAAAAGCCACCAAACGCAAACCTGGTGTACGAGAAGAAACTAGCAATCTCTCGGCCAGAAATGAGCATTGTTTGCCGGTAAGTCATGAGATTCTTCCATTCTGCTACTCATCGTTGCATTATTTAATCAGGCAATTTCCTATGTTCGTATACAGAATGAGGCTAATATTTGCAGTCCAGTGAAGAGGAAACAATTCCTAAAATCGTCCAAAAAGATTTTTCTCCATGTTGGAGTTCATTGTATGACACAATGGCATCTGCCGATTCTGCCCTGCTTTGGGTCGTCTGTCATTTCCTTATCTGTTTGAAGAAAGGGACAAATTAATTGAGGAAAACAAATGTTAAGAGAAAGAAAAAGGTAAAGCATCATTAAGTGGTCATCATAATTGATTGTAAGCTACAACCCTTTCTAGGTACATACTCCCTCTATCCAAAAAGAAGTCTCATTTGAACAAAAGAAACTAATTTCCATTAATTTTTTTTAAAGTGTCCAAGTGAGTTAAATTGTTACGGCTTGATTCCATTTGTCCCACACGAGTCAAATGGGGGACTTGATGATGGGTTTATAGAGCCAAGTGTTCTCCCACCTTAATATCTAGCTTTTGGAGTGTGGCTCTCCCTTGTGTTGTATCAATGGTATCATACGGAGTGGTAGCCTGGTGAACCAGTCGTGACCAACGAGGACATTGGACCTTATGGGGGGTCAAATGTTACGGCTTTATTTCATTTGTCCGACACCAGTCAAATGGGGGACTTGGTAATGGGTTTATATAGCCAAGGGTTCTCCCACCTTAATAGCTAGCTTTTGCCTTTTGGTGTGTGGCTCTCCCTTGTGTTGTACCATAAATACTCTGTATGTTAAATTTAGTTAAACCAACAAATAAATTGTGTGTGTGTGTGTGAGAGAGTTCCAATAGTTGCATCATACTAAAATTTCAAAAGTTGTACCTTAGTGAAACTTGACTCTTTTCTTGGACATAAATAGTAAAACTTAAGCAAAATATTACAAGATTAAGGTTTCAAAAGTGACATACTTCAATGAAAATGAGATCTCGTTTTTCACACACCATTTACATTAATATTTAAACATCTCTACACCTCACGAGATTGTACTGACCTGTATCCTGGGGTGGTTGTTTGATAACAGCATGCATTGTGGTGACTCCAGAATTTCCATATAGCGCGATACTGCACTGTTCCAGTGTTGTATTGTTATCTAAAATTTTCCCTCCACTGATTAACTTGACATCTTCCCCTTCTTTTGGGCCATTTTCTTTCCCTGTTAAGAAAAAAAAGGTGTTAAATGAACTCTGGTGCTATGAAGAAATACACAAGCTAAATGCACTGCCAGAACTTAATAAGGGGGGTGAATTCAATCTAGACTCAATAGGATTTTATTGGATTTAAAATGTTAGTAGGTATTCAATTGAGATTTTAAAAAGTTACTTAAAATATGAAGGTATTCAATTTAGATTTTAAAATGTCTACTGAAATCTGATGGTATTAAACAATTCATAGATTTTGAAAGATTTTTATTATAGATGGATTTTGATGGATTTGGCTGTTGTTTTTCTCTGCAAAAATCTTCTCACAAATCTCTTGTAACAACAGAGGATTTTAACAGACTTTGCTCATCCCTTCGCCTTTTCGCTACGACCTTGGCCTTTGAAGGGATTTTCATCCCTCTTCAACACCTCTTGAATTGCTTGGACAAATCGGAATCATAGGCAACAGAGGATTGTGGCGCCGGCCTAGGGTTTTGACCCTTCTCCTGGCCGGCGGCCGCTCTTGCATGCCCTCACGATGGGGACAGAGCGGACTCGCTACGACTCGGCGCTAGCGCTTTACCATCTGATACAGAGCAATCAGTCGAAACAGATAAAGATGGGAGCTGCTGCGGCGCCGGTGGGGATGCGGAACGGGGGCGAATTGGCCGGTATAGTGGTTCTGGTGGTGTCTAATTTGGCGGTGTGTGCCGAGGGTAAGGCAGCTCTGTTGGACGCCCAAGCGGTGGAGACGGTGGTGGGGTGGCTGAGGCACGGCAACGAGTTGGATGACGCCACGCAGGAGAATTCTCTGTATTCAATGACTCAGGGGTGTTTGAAGTTCAAGGGAATGGCCAGAAACGCCATACCGGCCAATATAGCTTGGGATCTGACAGTGCATACCTGCCGGACATAAAATTTTGGCAATCTTGAAGCAAGTGTGTTTAATGGAAGGGACTTCAAATTTTCAATGGATAGATTTTTCCAATTTTGGTCAATTCAGTAGTTTGTGGTGGGGTAGAAGATGAAGATCTTTGGAAACTTTTTCTCAGCAAAAAGAGCCGAGCTCCGGGTGCAGCGACTGAAGGGATCTAATTTGGGAAAAGTTTTTTTAAACAAATCAAACAAAATCTTTTAAAAATCTGTCAATAAAATACGTCACAATCTATTCAACTCTGTGTAGAATAAAAACAATCCATAGATTTTACACAATCCATGTATTTTAAAAAATCTTTTAAAATCTTTTAAAATCCAAATTGAATACACCCCCTAAGATTAAACCTCATTAGACACACCATAGAACCAAAGAGAAAACCAATGAATGGGAAAATCACGCAATGGAATTAAGGATAATGTAAAACAACAAGAAAATCTATCACCATAATTTTATTCAATTCAAAATTTTCTAGGTTGGGGATGCATGTCAATATATCAATCTCAAGCACCACAAGTAGGATTTTTTTTCAAGCAGCGACAAAGTCGCCATTGGGGAGTGGGGGTGGGGGTTGGTGGTGTACTTTCCATAATTACTTGTGGAGCGCAAAAACCAACTGGCTGGTTACACTGAACATATGTAATAAGAGACTCAACTGTTCTTGTCACAATACATTTCCATATATTAACCATGAATAAACAATCACATGTGTTCAGTATCCCTCAAGTGTCAGTTTAGCCTTGTCCATTAATAAATGTTTAATAGGAATCAAAAGTATGGAATTATGGATAGAGGTGTTAGATCATACTTCTTCCGTCCCATAAAACTTTTCAAAGACGGAAAAAGGCGCGCCCTAGAAATATGTAATTTTCATACGGAATATTATTTTCAAATTTTTCCTTTACTTTACCATAAGGTAGGATAGATGAGTCATAATTATAAAATAATATCAAAATTATACATATTTAGGATGCGCCTTTTTCGTCTTTGAAAAGTTTTATGGGACGAAGGAAGTATTACACTATTTTTACCTTGATTTTAGGCAAATTTATTGTTTTCGTCAGTTCTGAGTAGGTGTAAAACCAACTAAAATGAACACTTAAAAAGAGTGGATGAGACGATGAGTACATGTTTTTCTCGCCGTGGTACAAAGAATTCATCTAATCTTGCGCCCCACCATGGCACCCTTCCTCATTCATCCCTCTAAAAGGTGGTAAGATGGAAGGAAAATGGGAAAGTTATCAAAATGGATTATATAATTCTCTAGATTTCCTTTGAAAACTAACCACAACAAAATCCCAACTCTGTTGCAATTTGGGGTAAAAATGTATGCAACCTTGCGTCCTTACCCCTGTAAAAAATTAGAAAATCTGTTTCTGCTAGATCCTAGATGCATTTTGCATTTACTACCCAAAACTCCATTGAAAGATATTGCATTTGATACCCAACACTCCACTCAAGGATAGAAGCAAAGGAAGTTTAATGTATCATTTTGATTTAGTACGCTATTTACCCGGAGCTAAATCATTCTCTTACAACTATTTTCGCTCCTTTTAATCTGAAGAAGAGAAAATAACCTTCAATGAATTTCATTGATGCCGTTGAAATTGTTAGAGCAAAAGCAGCAAAAGCGAATACAGATAAGCCTCAATGCTTCAAGTCCACTCATATATCTCTCGACTCTTGATAAAAGTCTTAGGATTGGAATAATCTCAAATTTATACTTCCAAATAAACCCAAAAACATATAAGGGTGGGCGTATGAGACTATGAGTCACAAATCATGGTAGACGATATGTGGGTGAACTCTCAACTCTCAAGCTAGCTAATCTAGATATCTGCTTACCACTAACAATAACTGCTCATCATCAAAACTCAGTACAACACCAATTGGTTTGGGTCTGAATGTCTAGATCTACGTAACGTAACCAAGTAAAACAACGAAGTGGTTGTTTCTGTCAGACCCTTGATGCATCGTTGTAATTATAACCCAAAACTTCATAGATAGTAAGCTAATTAAGTTTAACGTGTCATTTCGACTTGATCAGTGGTGTGCATGAAGGTGATGATCACTATTTAAGCTTCATTAGCAATGTAACCACTTGGACAAAAACTAGACATGCATTTCAAAGTAAAAAAAGCATCTAAAACACTTGACTTGTGATACAAAACAAAATATTTCCTTAGCTTCCAACCACACAACTTGCACGTTTGGTCTACAGACTAAAGCACTGTGAGCTACAATTGGAGATTGAGGAGAAAATGGACTAACCTTTAGGCCATAGACCAGGTATGGCCTCCTTCAGGTCCCGGACAAGGGTAGCCGGGGGAAACTCTTTGGGGCCAATGTCTGTTCCATCGATCAATCTAAACTTGATCAGTAACTGATTGGCCTGATCTTGGCTTACAGACATTTCCACTGTCTTCTTCCCCAAGCCAATCTATCAACCTCTTCACAGCTTTCAGACCTCCACCAGATTATTAGGTCTCCCGATTCTGCAAATTGTGTCGGAATCCAGATCCAGTTCAAGAAACAAGTTTCAATCGAATCGGCGGCAGGCGGAATTTATGAACTACAGCAGCCCAAGATCGATGAATCACCCAAAGGAAAGAGGGAGAGAGAGAGAGTCAAACCAAACGAAACAGAAGAGTAGAGCTGATTATTGAAATTGGGGGCCAGATTACAGTAATTTCAACAACAAAAAAAATCAACGATAAATTGGTCCAATGTTATCGCATTTAGTATTTTACAGTTTTACACTATTTTAAAATGCTTACTTCCAAAGAAAATAAACTTGATCTTGAGATTCTTGACTTCTTGAGCCTACTCATAGAGTCCTAGGGCATGTTCTCTTCAATTAATTCTAATCTAATTGGAATAAATTTATAGTTGTTTTAGTTTGAATGTAATTATATTTAATGTTATTTTTGATCTTGTATGATCTGATTCTAATAAAATAAGTAATAAGTAAAAAAAATAAATTAAGAAGAACATGACCTGGACCACACGATTTCAGTTCCAATTGGCACCTAAATGGATACAGTGGTAATAACCACCCCGTTTAAAACTAAGTCATCCGTTTTTTCTTTTTAATTTAAATAAGAGTAGGAAAAAATAATTATGACATATTTATAAAATTATATTTTAATGTTAAAATTTAAATTTATTTTTTAAAATTTTCTAGTGATGTAAATGGTATGCGATGAATTCAACTTCCGCCGCTATGTAAGTTAATATGGCGTTTATAATAGCTTGAGTATACCAATATTTCGAGATAAATTTTTAGATTGAATTAAAGTCAATGGTATCATTTCACATGCTATCCTAGTGAATGTTATTGATGCGAGGACGACTCGTAGTTATCTGTGTCCCGTTTGAGGGGCATGTTGAGTTGAACTCCTCACATTGGCTATATAAGCTAATACGGAGTATTGTATTATTTATAACAGTTTGGGTACCTTAACTGCTTAAACATTTGGATTCACTTCTATAGTTAAATTAAACGTAAGTCTATTACTCCATATTTTGTAGTACATATTACATTAATATTTTTAATTGTTACGTACGGAGTATGATCTTTTTTTATGTCGTACTATTCACGATAACTACAAAATGAAAATTTATAAAATTTCGTAAAACAAAACAAAAAGCCTCATGATAAAAAAATCAAATTTAACATTAAAACTTAATTTGAACTCATAAATTTTCATCTATACCCCTATAGCGCTATATTGTATATAAATACTTTATCGCATATAAGTACTTTTAAATCGTTGTTGGAAAAAATTAAAAAAAATTAGAAGAAACTAGGAGTTAGAAAAAATTGAAAGTTAAATTTTCTAATTCAAAAAAACAACCCCTGGTGCTAAAAAAATTATATGACTCTTTGTTTTCTAAAAACAAATAGTTAGAAGAAAAAATGGTGAAGAATTTTAAAATATTGCGTGTAAAAAGTGTTGTTTTTTACTCTAAAAAAATAAAGTCTACACAACACGTTTCTAATAATATCAAATTTATTTTCTTCTATGTCCAAAAAAATATAATTTATTGCATCTCCACACAAAAAAACACGGAGTATTATTTTTTTAGCACAAACTAATCATTCTTTATACTTCGTACCATTGTCAAGAAATTAAACGGCAACAGCAAGCAAAGAAATGGAATAACACACGATAGCGTGAAACATTTCAACCAATCAAATGAAATATGTTGTCAGCTTGTGACAAGTGAATAAAGTAGCATGTCATGTAGTGACAAATCATTTTTGTCACTTTTTTACACTTCTTAAAAATACCTTAATCATTAAAAATTATTTAAATTATATTTTCCAAAAATAAAAGGTGTACTCCTTCAAGAAAAACTGTGAAAAAATAAAATTTAAAAAAATTGACAAAGCTGCCTTGCGGAAGATTGATTGTCCTTGATTTCAAATTTAATGTTATACATTAATGTTCTAAATTGAAATGTTTAAAAAGTAAAAAAAAAAATCTAAAGTGGAATGAATTTAATATAAAACTAGTACAGAGTACTAAAACATTAGGAGCAATTACGAAAGGCTATCCAAGACCGGGGTGAAACAATTACATAGATACAATCTTCCCTCACAATACCAGTAACTAATGAGTTTTAACCATTCCAGTTTAAAAAAAGTACAGTATTTACCAAAACATACAAAAAAAATCAAAGTGTGCTTCTGCAAAACTCAATAATAGAAGAGTTGGGGAACCCCACTTTGAACATCAAAGACGAATACACAATTATTATTTCTGATTCCAGAGAACAGTAATTGTTTGTGTTAGTCTTTGGTGCGCAAAATAGGATTCCCCACAATATAATATTCAGCAAAAAACAAATCGTCAATGAATTTAATAGGAGATACAAACGGAGTATGTAGCAAGTAGCAACTACAATCTATATCCGGTGGGGGGGGGGTTTGCGGGGGGTGGGGGGTGGACATATATAGCAACAAAGTTAACCTTAAAAACAATGGAATTATGGTAAAGAATACTCTCTCTTAAACCAAGACATGAGCAGATAGAATACAAACTAAAAGGATACTTCCATACCCATGATTCTTGTTTAAGGTTTTCCAATATACAGAAGAGAGAAACTGAGAGAAAGAGTACTATGGAAGCCAAGAAAAGTGAAGTTACCAAACCATGGCTTCAGCTCTCTGCTATGTTTGTCATGTCATGTAGGCTGAGGACTTGTTCTCTTCAACTTTTCCAGTTGGTTCTGATCTGATTCTCTGATCTGATTGTAATTATATTTAAAGCTGTTTCCGATCTGATCTCATATGATTCCAATGAGAATAAGTGAAGAGTAAAAAGAATAAGTTAAAGAAGAGAACTAACTCGGAGTCTATGCCAAGATGTGGCAATTGCTGATGAAAACATTGGAATGGTTGACAAATTTGGTCCAAAAGGGACGGAGATGTTCGAATCCAATCTCCAACCATGGCTTGGACTGGCCATTGTAGTGAATGACAGCAGCTTTCTTAACACTCTCCACGTTTGTCTTACTCTGGTACCCCAAACCAAGCATGTGCCAGGACGGGTCGATTGGGTGGATGTGGCTCTTGAATGCAATCAAGGCAGGGGGGAGCGTTCCTAGCCTCCACATCGTCAAGTTTGAATTCAGATTCTACAATTTTTTTTAAAAAAAATAAGAGTTTAAAAGATCAACAATCTGCTCGTATGTGAAAGCCTTAAAAAATTGAGATATCAAACAACAAAAATCAAATAAAGATGATCATCATAACAGCAGATGTAAGCTAGAATGGAGACTTGCTCTTTTCTTCTTATTTTTAATTGGAGTCTTTAGTCTGGTAACTGGTATTGTAACTTAGAACTGGTAACTTAAGTATAATACAAAGTATAATATAAAGCTAAAATACATACATATATATATATACATATATATATATATATATATATATATATATATATATATCAGTAATAATGAAAAAGAATTACAGGCCTTTATTAATATGAATAATTAGTTTTTGTGAGTTACTACATACAATTTTTAAAAATGTTGAAATATTAACAGATTTTTTTATTAACACCCGTAATGTGAAAATAATTCCAAAGAGTCTCATAGTTATTAACTACGGAGTAAATAATATTTTGAAGCAAATAAATTATGCTCTAATGTCCAATTATTTTTCAATTACACTAAATGACTGCGTCCATCCCCAAAAAAGAGTCGTCTTCACTATTCCAGTGTCAAACTAATATTATTTACGCATTATCATTGATCATTTGATAAATTAATATAGTCAAGCCACCACTTTTAAAAATATAATTGAAAATATCAACAAAAATAGATATTGTGTGGTTCTAACTCAATAATTTAAATTAGTTTTAGTTAGAACAGCATCAAAACTTAAGGGAGTGAATATTGTCACTCTAAAAAATTACTAATAAACAATAGTAGCTTTTGGAGTGACAATTTCCACTCACAAAGAGTAGATATCCTTTGTATTTTGGGAAAGAGTGAGCATTTACCTCCTTGACCCATGTGTGATAGGTTTCTCTTATATCTGTCTTTCTCCATGCAGACAAGTCAAAGATATTCATTCCATAAGCCCAGGCGCAATCATCAGGATTTATGTTCATTGCTATTAGAGGATGAGAAAAGTTGAAGTAATTTCTGAATCGCTTAGACATAACATACGGATCTTCTCCTTTACAGGTCTCAACAGCCCCATTAACCTTTCCTTTAAGGTCAATATCCCATAGTGGAGATAAATCATGCTGAATTACAACATCATCATCTAAGAAAACCACTTTGTCTAGATTTGGAAAAAGCTGCAGGATACAAGGGTAAATGATTTTTAGTTTTCTCATTGAAGAGAACATAAAATGCATAGTACTACGTATTAAATAAAATGAAGAATTAGAAGGACTCACACAAGAGCTTCAGATATAGGGAAAAAAATGCAAAGGCAAGCTTTAAGAGGTGAAATTCACAAAAATTGTTAAAAAAAAGACAGTATCGGAAACAAACTCTTCACCCTTCACGCGTTGAAGTCAGGTGAAGTACATCCTCCCTCCCCACACCCCACCTATGGGATTTCAGTGTTTGTCGTATGTTAAAAAACAAGAAGAAAAAAGACAGGAACCACGAAGGCAAACATTGGCACTTTCCCTCTCACTTTCTCTTTTGTTTTTCTTGCTTCTATCTTTCATCCAAAAAAGACTACAATTCAAGAACTCACGTCAAAATATTATTCATCAACACAGCCCATTTTCCATCTAAATGCATGGTTTGGGAAGACTATTGAGCAAAGAAATTAAAGATACTTAGTTCTGTCATACACCTGCATACCTCAGGCAGATATATGCGAAGATGATTGAGCAAAGATATGTATTTTGGACTTCTGGTCTGCAACTTTGAGGCAAAAGAGCGTGGTGTAGTATCACTAAGATTTGCTCCTGCAACATGATTCCCATGGTAATAATTGCGGATAACACTATGAGTCTCTACAGCTTCAAGCACTGGAATATTCTCTCTTGCCAGCCAGTCAAACTGGTGAACGCCTTTGACTTCAACGAGAGCAGGGGAGACAGGATTTAGAGCAAACCATGAATGCATTCCAGGATAAGTTTTCTTGTCAGTGATGACATGAAAAACAATCTCTTCAGGTTTCGCAGATGACTGAACAGCTGAATTGACCACCACAGAAGCAGCTAAGATGTTATCAGTTGACAATACAAAATGGTGTAGCGAGTTGTCAGATAGCAACGGGAGTAATTCTGGTGAAGGCAATTGTTTGCGTGCATTTGCATTGGATGAATATTCATCAGTTAGCCGAAGTGAGAGGCAATGAATTCCCTTTGGGATTGAACTTGCAGCAAAGTGTTTATTCATCAACTCTGCAAATTTAGATTCTCTGATTTCTCTTTGAGATCTCTCCATCTACAAATGAGGTAAACAATTGTCAAAAAGGCTAAACATTGTTTCTCTATTTTGGCTTACAACCAAAAGCCCTTCAAATTAACAAAGCAATTAACAACACATCGTGGCCTAAAAATACATTAGTGGATCATATTTGATTGATCTGACTCCCCATGCACAAAGGTCATGTGCATAGTGCTAATAATATCTAAAGCTGATATTATCTAGCACTACAAATTTGTGCCAAAAAGCATAGTGGCAAATTTTAAGATGGACAATAGGAAAATAGAGAGAAGCACGATGGGAAAAAAAGGCAAAGAAAGAACTGACATTCATACCATTCCCTTCAATATAAGTACGAACTCTTTTGCATTGTGTTTATTGTTTTTCATTTCAGAGACAAGTTGACTAAATGAATCTGGGAGCTTCAAGTCTGCTGGCACTTCCTCAGATCTCACTTGGTTTAGGACTTTAACAAAATCCTTAACAAGCCTCTGTGTGACAGGAACAATGCAGACAACTTCAGGTCACAAAAAAAACGGCTAAATGTAAAACCAGTTTGCACATAGTGTAGTAGTTACCCCTGAGTCATCAGATCTTCCAAGAAGCTTTGGGCCCAATCTCCTGCCTAAACAATCTAAAACACCCATGAGAAATGGAATCATAGTTTGTCATTAAAAAATTCAGTTTTCGTCATTTAAACTCCCTTCATCCTAAAATAAGGTTCCACAATGTGGTTGAGTTTTATGAAGAGGAGAGAAATTGTGTGAACCACGCAATTTCTTCCTCAAAATGAAAGTGGAACCTTTTGGGAAAATAAGAAAATGTGGAACTTTTTTATGAGACGGAGAGACTATGCCTTAATATAGAAGAAACAAAAGCAGCTTGCTTTTACGTATTGTATAAACAATAATAGATCTAATGGGAAAAGAAGTAGGAAATATCTTTTAGAGTTACTGCACTGTATTACATGATGTCTGAAATATATGGAAAGCAGAAGCAACAGCCTAGCATGCTTGATTGAGATTGCAATCAATTGAACAACGTTGGAAAAAAAAGTTATTCATGACAAACATAACACTTTTATTTGATCGGCAGCACATCATGCATTACACAAAAATTATGCAATTGTCACTCTCAATATATAGATCCCCCCATATTGTTGTTAAATTTGTTAACCTAAAACACTGTACACACGGTATACAAACTGTCCTGGCTTTTAAATTTCTAACACATGATGTGTCCAAAGTTTAATTCATACGTGTGAAGCACCAGTAGAGTGCTTACATGCATTCCCTCTCCTCATCTGTTTTCACTTTTCAACATGAACACATAAACAGTATGAAGCCATATAATGCTCCTTAACCAACCCAACTTTACCTCATGAAAAAAGACCATTTAAAAAGATCAGACATTTAAATGCCAAAAGGTTAGGACTTAGGATTGCCATCTCAAACAAAGATCAAAATCACGCCACGGATATACTATGAAAATAGAAAACAAACAAATAGCATGACCAAACAACAACTCAATTAGAGAAAAAAATACATCTAGAAGTGTGATACATAATATCAGTAAAAGGAGGGAAAATGAAGTACCGAGCGAGGAACACTTGTTGACGCCTTCAAGGGTAACAACAGCTGTGAGAATGAAGACGAAAGGCAGGAAGAAAGCCAAGATAAGAATGGTGTGAAAGAGCGTTCGGTAAGATATATGGCGAGCTGCGACCTTGATCTTCATCAAATCACCAAAACCTCCATTGCTGCTGCTTGAGATCGTTATACTTCTCATGCTAGGTGAGAAGCGCAGCTGCATCTTCCTCCCTCCTCACCCAACCTCAGCCGAACCCAATTCCAATACTCCAAGCCTACAACCCTAGATGGCAGAATGGCAGCACCACCGCCCACGGCGCCGTCTCCACCGCCGCAATTACGACTCTTCTTCTTCTTCTTCTGCGCGACAACTCCACTGCTCAACATCAGTTCCGCCCTCGGCGCAATTCAACCGTCCCTTCCTCTTCCTCACCCGTAATCTGCTAAATCAACCTAAATCTATATACGGTGAAAACGAGGAATTCCGCCTTAATTATGGATTGATTTTCAAAATCTGTTCACACACAAAAACATATCGGCGTGCAATGCATCCGGATATACATGAACTTTGTTAAATCTCAATCTCTTCAACATTTCAATCAATCACCTGATGATCCGATTAGGTTAATTTACATCAAACAATACGTGCATTGATCATAAATTTGCTTTTCCTTTCCGATTTTAGCTTCTTTTGATAACGGGCGTGTTCTGGATTGGTCCTGGGAAGGACGAATGTTGCGATGGAAGGGGACAGAGAAAGAGAGTGTGTTGACGGCAATTGCAAATTTTGTGATTTTAGTTCTAATTTACTTTTTTTTTTGCTTCATTTTTTACTATTATTTTACTTTCTTATTCTTTTTAATTAATAAAATATGTTTTTTTGAGTATTTTCGTTTATCCATGTCAAGTCTAGGATTAATGTCTAAAATCATAAAATCTTTTAAGCTTTTTTTGCCCTAACATTACTAACTTCTCAGCCTATGAACATCTTGAAGTTTATTCATAGAAGAAATTGGTTCTGTCTTTGGCTTGAGCAAGCATGTCCAAAACCACATTTAAAAGAATAAAACATGACCCGACATGTGTTGATCTTGTCATCAGGCATACTTTCGAGAAGTTATCTGGTCGTGGATTAGGAGCTTGAGAGTAGTTAACTACAAGTTGTCATTCTTGATCTATCATGACCTTGTAGGCTTAAGTTAGGCTTAATTAACGAAGGGATAAGAGAGTCTATTTGAAAGTAATGTGACTCATGCGCTGATAAACAAGATTATAAACAAATCACACGCGATCACCTGAACCTACTAATATATTGTACCAATATGCTACAATATATATAAACACACACACTCTCTTGTAAGTCACTATTGAAGAATTTGGATCTTAATTACTTGCTCTGTCTTTTTAATTCCAAGCCATATTATTGGCCATAAACTCTTAGTAATATGAATGACAATTCGGCCATGTTTTATTGGATTGAAAAAAGCTTTTAACTGTTTCCAACTCATTCTAATTTCTTCTGACTCATTGTAGTTTCTTCCAACAACGACTTAAAAAGGTATTTATATATGATGAATATATAATAACACTATATATCTAAATGCATAACATATCACTTCAAACACAAACAATGATGAACTTTTTAATCCAAAATTAGAATTTTCTTGTATACCCTGAAGTATCTATTTGGGTGATCGTTTAATTGAGCGGTTTTTTAGCACTTAAATCATTTCAACATTTTCTAATTCCATTCATTTTTTGCATTTCTTTCCAGTTTCTTCCAACTCTTTCTAAGATCCAATTCTGAAATTCTAAACCAAAAGAATAAGGCCAAAATAATCACTCCTCTCCACAAATAAATTTCGCATTGCGCATTACAATATTTGACTGAAATTATTTTCAAATTATTTTATATAAAAATGATGTAAAATTTAAAAATAAAACTTACGTATTAAATAACTATATCAAAAAATGTACTCCGTACAAAACTAGAGATGACATGACTATATTATTTTATCAAATAGGTGACAAAAATAGGTCAACAAAGTAAATAAAGTTTGACAATGTAAATAGTAAAGGAGAAGTTTATTTGTGTACGAAATGAGTAATTCATAAGGCCAAAGTTGTGATGTTGGCACCCGTACCATACGTGGCACCAAAACTGGTTTTCAGCCGTCCATAACAGAGCGCGACATGGCCGCAAGCAGACAAGCAGCTCCCCTTACTCTCTATCACTCTCACTTTCTTTCTTACTCTTCTATGATCCAAATCCCTCCCACTCTGCCCAGATTCCGCTGATCCTCTCAATCTCCCAACAGAAAGAGAAAGAGAGAGCTATGGCGACTTCCCATTGCTCCGTTACTCGAAGCCATGTCCACCCTTTCCTGCATTCCTCTTCTACCCCGAGACTGTTCGATCTCAGTTCCAGATCCAGGAGCTCGATGAACTCCCGGTTCCTCACCAAAATCGCCGGCTTCCGGAGGCCGAAGATCGCCAGACGGCGGCCCGTTCTCGTCAGGAGCGTGCTGAATGAGCCGAAGCAGACGATTCAGCATTCCTTTACTGAAAACGGTGAGGGTTTTTTTGCCTTCTATAGCCGCTCAATTTAGTTTTTTTTTTTAATTCAAAAAGTATGCTTCATTGCAATCCACTCTCATACTTATGCAGTCTGCAAAATTTAAGTTTCGAAGTTATACATACTCAAAGGTAGACTTGGTCACTGGTCTAGAGATTGTTTAGGGCTGGTCTAGTTGCTGGTGATCCTTTTAAACTTTCATTTTCCCTTTCCTGAATCAATTTCATCCCGATATTATTTTGAATATCTTAAGATTTTTCAGGTGCATAAAAAGTACAATGCGTAATTGAAAACAGAACTGAAATGTAGTTGGAACTTTTGACTACTGATTTTAGGGTTATATATTTTGAGTTTCAAATACTGGATTTAGATTGTCATTTTAAGTTAAATGGTGGCATGCCCTTTTTTCGGGACAAGAGAAAATGTAAACGTGTACAAAAACCATTTTTAATTATCAATGCGGTAGACTGGTATTGAAGCAAAAATATCTCAAATATGAATTATCACAAATTATGAAAAATATAATAATTACGAAGTGTTCGTAAAAGTTGAGATGAAAATGGGTCTGAGTTCGAGAATTGCATTGACTGCTCATATTTATCAGTGTATGTTTGCCTTATCACTGTCAGTATTCAATTATTCATAGGACTCAAACTGTTTGCCCTGCATGAAATTTTAGGTGCCTCTCTTGATGCTGCATCTATTGCTTCAAACATCAAATACCATGCAGAGTTTACACCTGCATTTTCTCCGGAGAGGTTTGAGCCTCCAAAAGCTTTCTTTGCAACTGCACAAAGTGTTCGTGATTCACTGATTATTAATTGGAATGAAACATATGAATACAATGAGAAGTTGAATGTGAAGCAGGCATATTATCTCTCAATGGAGTTTCTGCAGGTACACCATGTTTTCACCATTCTTTAACCATTGATAAACACCTACGAATTGATATATCGCGTTAAGAAAGCAAACAAAATGAAATAAAGCAACTGAGCTTATATACTTGCAGGGTAGAGCATTGTTAAATGCAATTGGTAACCTGGAGCTTACGGGTGCATATGCAGAAGCATTGAACAATCTCGGCCACAATCTAGAGAATGTAGCTTCTAAGGTCAGGTGTTCAGGTCCACTTGTGATTTGAATTGGGATTGGTTCAATTCTCATTCTGAAAATATGGTGTGTAGTAAAAGAGTGTACAACTTTGCTAAACATGTTCATTCCCGTTTTTCTGACTGACTGTTTTAGCATTTAAAAACTAGAAGCTACAAAGCCATTCTCTGGTCAGATTTAAATTCCTTTCTCTTAACCACGAACAAATTCATAACAGGAGCCAGATGCTGCTCTTGGAAATGGTGGTTTGGGTCGGCTTGCTTCATGTTTCCTAGATTCTTTGGCAACATTGAATTATCCAGCATGGGGCTATGGACTAAGGTACAAGTATGGGTTATTTAAGCAGCGCATTACGAAAGATGGCCAGGAGGAAGTGGCTGAAGATTGGCTTGAAGTATGCTCTCTAAGGCTTCATTTCATCTTTAATGCTAACATTTATCTCACTGATCAGTTCACACTGGCATTTTCTTGTGTAATTGTGTTTAAAATGAACCTCGCTCTTTGTTACTTCACATAGTTTGATAAATTTTTTTGACTCGAGTTCATGCTTACAGCTGGGTAATCCTTGGGAGATAGTGAGAAATGACGTTTCATACCCGGTAAAGTTCTTTGGTAAAGTGATCACTGGATCAGATGGAAAGAAGCATTGGATTGGCGGGGACGACATTCAAGCAGTTGGATATGACGTTCCCATACCAGGATATAAAACTAAAACTACAATTAACCTTCGGCTTTGGTCAACGAAGGCTTCTTCAGAAGATTTTGATCTAAATTCTTTCAATGCAGGAGAGCACGTCAAAGCGTGTGAGGCCCAAGCAAATGCTGAAAAAGTAGGGTTTTTATATTTTCAGTTGTTTACTGCTTGTTATTATGGCTTTCATTGTCTGGATACGGGTCACGACTTCTGAACTTTAACATCTTACTGTGGAATGATGTTGCTCTTCAACTTTGTTTGTCGAAACACAAAATAAATGATACAAGGGAAATAAGTTATTATCAAATTTTCTATTTCTTGTGCTCATATATACTTGTGAACCCCTTGTAATTTCCCCCCGGTATTAAAACCTTTTACCACAACATTGCAATGCATTAGGCTCAAAGTGCTTTGAAATTGGACTTTTGTGTGATGGGTTTTCTTTGACTCAGATATGCTACATACTCTACCCTGGGGATGACTCAGTGGAAGGAAAAATTCTACGATTGAAACAGCAATATACTTTGTGCTCGGCTTCTCTCCAAGATATCATTGCCCGATTTGAAAGGAGATCTGGTGGACATATAAAATGGGAGGATTTTCCTGAAAAAGTTGCTGTCCAGATGAATGATACCCACCCTACTCTATGTATCCCAGAGCTTATTAGAATATTGATTGATGTGAAGGGCTTGAGCTGGAAGGAAGCTTGGAATATCACTCAAAGGTTCTCTCATGAGTTTCTTCTTTGCAATTCTTTTTTATGAGCATCCAAGATGACTCTGTCAATGTGGATTTTAATCTTTAAAAACTGCATGTGAATATATGATAAAGACTGTGTCACTGTCTGAGATTATATTGAGATGCAAAGATTATAGTTTATCTTTATAAGACAGTAATTTTTCATCTGCATCCCTGTGCCAGTTTCTTATTTCTTTTACCTTTTTCATTCTTTCACACATTGTTTTCAAATATGATTCAGAATGATGAATCTTATTTGAAGTTTTATAATTCAAATGACACCATTGCTGATTGCTGGTATATACTTTCCAGGACAGTGGCATACACAAATCATACTGTTCTGCCTGAGGCACTGGAGAAATGGAGTTATGAGTTGATGGAGAAGCTGCTTCCTAGACATATAGAGATTATAGAGATGATAGATCAGCAGGTAATTGGAAATCAGACATCATGTATAACTCAACTGACCTATCCATTTCAATAATTTTCTACCCGAACTAACTCCTGACATGTTTTATTCAGCTGATAAATGAAATAATATCAGAATATGGCACCTCAGACCTTGACATGTTAGGAAACAAGTTGAAAGCTATGAGAATTTTGGAGAACTTTGATCTTCCAAGCTCTGTCGCAGAATTATTTACTAAACCAAAGGAAACCCCAGCTGTTGATCCTAGTGCGGAAGTTGAAGATAGTGATGAAGTGGTGCCCGGTGATGAAAAGGATCAGCCTGCAGAAAAAGAAACAGAACCGGTGAAAGCTGTGGACCCACCGCAAGCTCCTAAGATGGTCCGTATGGCTAATCTTTGTGTTGTCGGTGGTCATGCTGTAAATGGAGTTGCTGAGATCCATAGTGATATAGTGAAGGAAGATGTTTTCAATGACTTTTACAAGGTATTTCTGTTAGGAGGTTCAATGACAGTTCTTAACTGGTGCTTAAGTTAACTAAAGTCTTACTGAAGTATTTCTATTTTTAAGCATTTGAATCATTACCTACAATCATTTATTGCTTACAGATTTGGCCCGACAAATTTCAAAACAAAACTAATGGTGTAACTCCCAGAAGATGGATCCGGTTTTGTAATCCTGCTCTTAGTAATATCATTACAAAATGGATTGGTACAGATGACTGGGTCCTAAACACAGAAAAGTTGTCAGAATTACGTAAGGTATGAAATATAAACTTTTGACGTATTCTTCAATGAAATTTGAATGAATTATTTTTCCAGCCTACCTCAGATATGAAATTTTGGGGGCTCTGGCTACACTAGTACGCTTAAACATGGTCTATTTCTGTTTATGAATTTTCTACTCCGTATATTTTACGTTCTAACGTTTTGTGGCATGGTCACATGAGTGTGCTTTATAATGTTGACTTAGCTATGAATTACCATGTACAGTTTGCAGATAATGAAGATCTTCAAAGAGAGTGGAGGGAAGCAAAGAGAAGCAACAAGTTAAAGGTTGCTTCATTCATAAAAGAAAGAACAGGGTATTCAGTCAGCCCCAACTCAATGTTTGATATCCAGGTCATTTCTCTGCTTCTTTAAAAATTTCTACTTCATTGATTCTTGTAGGTTGGTTAATTTGAAATTGTTAGCTGAAATGCCAAATCCATACTACATTTAGACTAACAGCAAAACACTTCAGGTAAAACGCATTCATGAATACAAGAGACAACTCTTGAATATCTTGGGAATTGTTTACCGATACAAGCAGATGAAAGAAATGAGCGCAGCAGAAAGAGAAGCAAAGTTTGTTCCTCGGGTATGCATATTTGGAGGAAAAGCTTTTGCCACATATGTGCAAGCTAAAAGGATTGTGAAATTCATAACAGATGTTGGAGCCACCATAAATCATGATTCTGAAATAGGTGATCTGCTGAAGGTATAAATTAGTCATCAGCTTACATTTTGATTTTTTGTTTTTGTTTCATCTATAGTATAAGTTTCTCACCAGTTTAATCATACACCCAATAATTTTTTGCATTTCAAATTTTATTTTCTTATTCTTTATAGGTTATATTTGTCCCTGACTACAATGTCACCGTTGCTGAAATGCTAATTCCTGCAAGTGAACTTTCACAACATATCAGGTATTTCAGATCGGCTGCTTGTATCCCAGTATTTTATTTCATTTATTATCTTTTTGAGAATACACACAGCCATTGAGAGCTCATTTGGCAAGGTATTTGGCTCAGATGGCTTAATCTGCTCTGCTTTCTACAAGCAAAAAAGCCATTTAAGTCATAAGCTACTGAGTCTTGTTGTTATGTTGATAAGCAGAACATGTCGGATAAGGCTACCAATTGGAACCTGATGTCGCTAGTAAACTTCCCTCCACAAACTCATTGTGTATTTACGTACAAAAAAAACTCAAAAGCTTGAACTAGTGAAATATGAAAAAATATGAAATACAATTGTCAAATATGATTTATTTATTTATTGAATGGCTATCATGTTTCAGATAGAGTGGTGGATAGTTCAGGCATCTATCATTCTACTATTTTTTGCTGTATGAATGCAGTACGGCTGGAATGGAGGCCAGTGGAACCAGCAACATGAAATTTTCTATGAACGGCTGCATCATAATTGGGACTTTGGATGGGGCAAATGTTGAGATAAGGCAAGAGGTGGGTGATGAAAATTTCTTTCTCTTCGGGGCTAAAGCTCATGAGATTGCAGGGCTTCGGAAGGAAAGGGCTGAGGGAAAGGTAAAACCTTCCTACTTTTTTCCTTTTACTTCATCCCTCCGGATTAAGAATCCTATTTCAAACCCCTATTTGTCAAAAAAAAGAAAGAGAAGAAGTTTAGTTTGACTAAGCGAAGCTGTTTTCATTCAATTTCAAAATAATGCAAAAATGAGTCATAGACAACTTACTCGTGAATCATTATGATAAATTTAGTTGATAAAAAATTAAAATTATAAGCATGATTTGTGACAATTAATGTTACACCTTACCAAAATTAAGTTGTGTATTGGTGAAACATGCCTTCTTTTTAGGGATAATTTTGGTAATAGTAGCATTAGTTTTCAGAGCTCCCCATCCCACATATCTTTTTTCATGGTAAGATTTCAAAGATACACAAAAAATACTCTTATTTCTATTGAGTATGCTTTTACAACTGGAATGCAAATACTGTGTAATGCAGTTTGTACCTGATGAACGTTTTGAGGAAGTCAAGAAGTTCATAAGGAGCGGTGCCTTTGGCTCAAATAACTATGACGAGCTTATCGGATCTTTGGAGGGAAACGAAGGCTTTGGACGCGCAGACTATTTCCTTGTAGGCAAGGACTTCCCAAGTTACATAGAATGCCAAGAGAAGGTCGATGAAGCATATCGTGACCAAAAGGTTAGTGTTATTTTTCATTTTACTCCAATTTTCTGTCAAGATATCCCTTATCAAAGAAATACTCTCCCCCATCCCAAATTAATTTGCTCACGGAGATTAAGAAAAGTGTTGAAAAGATGTTGAATAGTAAAATGTGAGTGATTAAAATTTGTTTGGATTTCGGAAGAAAGAGGTATTTTGGGCCCAATAGAAAAAGTGAAAAAAATATTTGGGACGGACAAAACAGAAAGTGGGAAATGCTTTTGTGGGACGGTGGGAGTATATAATCATAAACTAACATATAATGTCTTGAGCTACTTCTCATATCAATTCACCTCTTAGAATGGAACCCCAAGTCTAAGTATTTTCTCTTTTTAAAAACAATGAATTTGTTGCAGAGATGGACCAGGATGTCAATCATGAATACAGCCGGGAGCTACAAATTCAGCAGTGATCGAACGATTCATGAATATGCTAAGGACATATGGAACATCCAGCCAGTCGTCTTTCCTTAGAAAGAAACAACCCGATTTTCTGAGGACCAGTATGTCTTTCATCTCCTTGTTCCATTAAAGCATCCCCCCATCTGTACCCAGTTTATGTACATGTAGGGCAAGGCAAGACACTGGCATCTATCATCATATAATAAGTCTTCTTGCTCCTTGTACTATATGTTGTGCTTCATCATCATCATCATCATCATCATCATCATCATAACAAGTCTTCATTGTTCTTTGTACCATATGATGTATTCATTCATAAGGGCTCTTGCCTTTTTCATAACCTTTTTTTTCTGTCAATTAAGAGCATAATAATAATAATTTATATGGTATATAAGTACTACTTTTTATCATGAGTGTGTTCTCATTCATGCACTTAAGCTGTTTTCTGGATCTACATAAGGTGTCAGCCTAGGGTCTTTTGATACAGTTTGTAGTCCAGAACTTGTACACCTATTATCTTCTTCAATGCAAAATCGTCTCCAACGTTAGCGTTTTCATTTTTCAACACAAGGAAAACTTATGTGGGTTTCTTCTTTATATAAGTTTGCCTCTGGTCTTAGGAAATACGGGCGATTTTTAGCTAAAATAAAGACCTTTCACTACCTTGTGATCTAGCGACTTCGTACCTCTTGCTATTGCTCGAGATCTTTTAGAACCTCTCGACATGCCTCAATGGATAGAGGCCCTGAGCCCCCGACCTCTCATTTTTTCTCAAAGAGATTCTCCCCAAAAATTAGCCATTTTCATTCGAACAGCCAGCTGCCCTCGCTATGCTTGGATCAAAAGTCACGTCCATATAAAAATTACCTTTCGTATTAAAATAATAAATTTACTCCTTGTGTCTCACAAAACATTACCCATTTTGATGTATTTTTGGTCAAACAGTTACACGCTTTGACCATAAATTGAATATAATCTAAATAAAGGAATGTTATAAAATTTGATTATCAAAACTAAATCCTAAGATGAATCCAATTATATTAAATTTATATTATAATTCAATATATTTTTCTCACAATTTGTAGTCAAAGCGTGTAATTATTTGACTAATTACGATTCAAAATGAGTAATGTTTTGTAAAACGGAAGGAGTATTTTTTAATAGCTTTTGCAAGAGAAACTTGATGAAATTATTTTGTGTATCACTCCCTCTGTCTCAATTTAAACTACTCATTTCATTTTACGGCATTTAGGCAGAATTATTTTCAATTCAATTTTTATGAGAATTGAGGTTGAATTAAAAATAAAATTACATATTTAAAAACTATCTAAAAATTTCTACAGAACTAGTGGTGACATGATTATACTCCTTCCGTCCCAATTTATAGTGCCTGTTTCAGTTTATGATAACTGACTAAAATTATTTTAAATTATTTTATATGACAAATGGTATAGAGTTAAAAAAAATAAAAAAAATACATATTAAAATACTACATCAAAAGATATACAAAACTAGTAGTAACAATAATACCTTATTTTATCAAATTGCTAACAAAAATAGATAAAGAAAGTTAATAAAATTTGACTCTATAAATAGTAAACATGCACTATAAATTGGGACAAAGAAGTATTATTCTATCAAATGATTCATGAAAACAAATAAAGAAAGTGAATAAATTTTGACGCTCTAGATAATGAACAAGTAATTTAAATTTGGACGGTGGGAGTAATATGTAATGTACTTTTAGGAGCAAATTCCATTAAGAGTGTCTAATAATTGTTGATTTTTCATATTTAACCTTTATTTACAAGAGTAGTCCTTGTATCTTTACTTCTTTTCCACGGCTAGTCCTTTGTCAGTCCTGCAAGATTAAAAATGTTATTTCTCACCCATTTCTCTTAATTAAAGCCCTCCTCATCCTTAGCTACCTCTCATAACCCTAAGTCCATGTCTTCATGTGGAGTTAACAATATGCCAAGTACTACTTAAAAAAAAGCAATATGCTAGGTTTTTTTTTCAAACTACTGTTATTGTTTTCAAAAGTACTAATCAAATTCATATTCTATCAAATTTGCTGAGCCACAAAAACCCAACTAAAAGCACAATTAGCACTCAATTATGATTTACTGAATTATTACTTGTACAAAATATCAATTGATACATTTCATCATGTATGAGAGTATTTACAGCTTTAATCTCTGCAACAATTTTTCAGCCTCAATGAATCCACCAAATGGCCCCAGAGATGTGTATTTTAGGCATCTCCATCTGTTTCAATATAATACAACAATAATAATAACATCAAAATGGAAGCAAACCATTGACCAGTGCCTAGACTCTGTTCACAACACTGATTTTGTTTTTTTTTTGTTTTTTTATTTACAAGAAAGTATAATGAAACGGCAATGAGTTATGATCGGTCTCAATAGTCAATACAAATTAATATTGTGGCTAAATTTAGTAGTGTAAACCAACAAAACCATTAGCATGCCATGTTCGGGGGCCAAGATGTTTAGCACAAATAGTGTGAGGAAATTTGTTCACCTTGGAGTGTAAGGAAGTGCTAAGCAGTGAAGATGAAGGTGATTAACACTGTTCAATGGTGGCTGGTGAAACCCAAACCTGAAACAAAGTGAGTGCAATTTTAGGAGTGTGCGCAAGGTACAGATCATACGAGAACGCAGACCACATCTGACCGTGCCAATATGTGGTTTGGTACAGACTGTAATACCCATAACACAATTTCTAGTTGTTCTAACAATAAAACTAAATTCCACACAAGTATTGAAACATAACAAACATCAGAGTACCAAAGTACATACAACAAAACAACCAACTAAACTAAATATGTTTGCATTTGATGAGGTATAGGCATGACTTTGGATTTCAAGACCATAATTGGGTTGTTTCCATTTTTAAAGACGATATGCAGTTTTTTCTACTTTTGCTGTTTGATCTGGTCTGGCAAAGACCATTGCACACTCCTAGCTGTGTCAATCTTATTCCTTATTGGGCATAATTTGAATGTAAATTCACTGATAGTTATAAAAGTTGTACCCCTGTCTGGCAAGTCTATTGCACAGTCTTTCCATTCCAAAGTCACCTCACAAGGCAAAAACTGTACAAACTAAACGGCGAGTTTGGAAATTGAATAAGATATAGTACCTGTATTGTTTGCTGGAAGGTGCATCTCTGCCTAATAGACTCTTCCCAACATCTAGCATGTGGCTAACTACAAAAGTTTGAACATTAGCCAAGGTACAACTCTTGCATTTTTGCTCATATACAGCTTTAATTTTGCTAACGTACAACCCTTTGGAATACTTTGTTTTGGTAAAAAAAAACATTAATATCAACTAAAAACAAGTCCTTTTTTTAGAACATAGATAAGTTTAGGACTTGGACTCTTTTTAAAGACTTGGGGAGTGTTAAAATGTCATGGAAAAATAAAGTTACCCAAGGCATAGTCATCTTGGCATTTGGTAAGATCTTTGACCGTAGGAATGTGCTCTTTTGGAATCACCAAGTAATGCCTGACCCATTAATAGAAAGGTTCAAGAGCCAGCCTTTAAAATATATGCAAAAATATTTAAAGCTCTTAACCTAAGAAGCTTTTAAAGCTTTAAACATACTCCGTATATGTGTATTATATCCAACTTTGGAGCTAAGGAGGTTAAATATAACAAAACTGAAGATATCACAACAGCAAAAGTGATATTCTATCCAACTTCCACGAAAGAAAAAAGTGAGCTCGAATTTAAAAAAAACATATACTCCGTATATACACTGCCCGTCTTGGACTATATACTGATATAACAAAATTACACTAATTAATAATGGTAATGGATCTAATGACAATAATAAAGATAGAATAGCAAAAGAACAACAGAAACTTCCAATTGATCATATGACAAACAAAGATGAGCTGCTCTATAACAAACAACTCAAAACTATCCCCGCAAGGGTGGTTTAAATGTTTATTCATACCAAACAGGCAGGTATTCTCAGATTACTTTCGACAAGTTTTCTTGACATCAATCAACAGTTACCAGTAGCCTACCTTACAATATACGGAGTACATAACTGCTACTCGGTATTAGCTAATATGAATCCAAATGAATTATGTGATAGCTATTAAAGAAAAACATATTTGGCCTAACTCACTCCAAAAGAACTCTCATGAAGTAGAATAACTCCAACACTCCTCTTTGTGTTTTCCATAGGTGCCCCATTATCATGACTATGAGTCATGTCATAGAGTCAGATTAAATGACTTTGATACCATGCTGAGAATAAATATTTGGCGCCCCAAAAGAGCTCTCATGAGGTGAGGCTTGCCTCATGCTTATTAAGGAGTTCATTCATTCATATTTATCCGATTTGGGATAACTCCAACTACTCAACATAAAGAATGGGAAGAAATAATGAGAACCTGGAGGCTGAAGGATTGATATCCTGAAATGCTAAAACTTTTTCATCCTGCAAAAATGAAGATCTGGTGAAGCTGAGAGGTGATGATGGTGGAAAAGCAATGAAAAGTGAAAATTAAAGAGAGTCACTGACGGAGTGAAGGAGAGCCGTGGATGTGGAAGCACCGGCGATTTGACAGAATATGCATCCAGAAACTGCACCAGCCATTACTCCGCCGCTGAAATTGACCCATTAGCTGAAACTATAAATGTGTTTGGTGGCATGTTTACACTTGTTGTGCCACCTTGTCTTGGGAAAAGGGCTCGTTCAGATTGGAAATGGATTTCGTGTTGGATGTACTTCGGGCCAAGTGATATTCAGATCAACACACTTCGAATAGTGTTTTAGTCAACAGCTCGGATTGGAATAAGCTTTAATCCTTTAATGTTTAGCTTTTAAAAGTTTTGAAGATGCAATTCAACAGCAGCTTTTCAAGGTGTGCATTTTTAAACTTAATCTTATTTATTAAAAAATTATCCAAAACACTAACATTAATCGCAAATGTTGATCAGATACGAAACAATGATGTATTATGCATCAAAAAATGGAAATTTGTTCTACTAAGTGAGACGACCGTTTTGATATATCATGCATCAAATTATCAAAATGCCTAACAAGTATTTAAAAACTTGATAGGACTCGGACATGAACGCCGGGTAGCAAAACTCTAAGACTCCGAAACTCTAATAGATGAAGAGCCTTCCTTTATTGACTAAATTACCACTAATTTTCAATAAATGGGACAAATCAATTCAAACTTACCCATGGTTAAAAACAATATACTTGCATGCAACCCATGATTCCCAATCACTTTTTGACAGGCCACCTACTTGCAGAGTGAGGATGATCATTAGGGTCAGACACACATGTCCCCTCGGAAATGCTTATATAAGACCATCTGTGTTCTTGAAGCAGTAAAATAGAGCAATACGCAAGCTTTCTTTCTCTTAATATATACTCCGTAATATATTTTCTCTTGATTACTCCGTGACTGTTGTTTATGTTCGTCTGAGTTAACACAGGCTGTAACCCTACCTAACTTGGAAAGGCTTTATCCTAGGAGCAAGTAGGTCACATTCAAACAGTGTGTAAGCAGCCAATATAGTCTTAAGGATAGCCTTCCAGTGACTTGTTTCGAAGGTTACTATTCCATTTACAGTTTTATTAAGAACAAGAAGATAAACACCGAGACCTTTTAATGTAATTTTTTATTCTTGTCTATATTGCTACAATTTTTAGCAAATTTATAAACCCGAACTTTTCTTATATTCCACATTTGCAAATGCAAAAACCCACCAAATCAACAAGACATTGAAACTCTACTTGCAGAACCTTTTGCACGAGCTCAAATCATAGGACTAGCCCCTAATTTGTTTATCATTTACTCTATATATGGAAGAAGTTGGGAAGAAATAAAAAGAAGCCAAAAGAAAGTAAGAAATTAGGAGTTGGAAAAAACTGAAGTTAGTTCGAAGAAATGTGAGGAATTGAAAAGATTGAAAGATCTATGTGAGATACTGAAATTAGATAGGAGGGAGGAACCTAAATTTTGTTGAAAATAAGGAATGGTTTGCTTCCATTATCATGTTATTATTATTGATGTTATTAAATTGAATCAGATGGAGATGCCCAAAATACACATATTTGCAATAAATTGGTGGTGGATTCATTGAGGCAAAAAAATTGTTGCAGAGATTAAAGCTTTAAATCCTCATCCCGGATGAAGATATCAATTAATATATTGCAATGATAATTCAGTAATTATAACTGATTGCTTGGTTTGCTTTAAGTTAGATTTTTGTGGCTCAACAAATTTGATAGAATACAAATTTAATTAATACAATTGAAAAAATCAATCTGAAAAATAACTTGGCACATTGCAACTCCACGTGACTTATCTTCCACTGATGTCCCAAATGCGATTTCCGACGCAACTGTTTGCTAAATTCTTTTTTTTTAATTAATTGATAAAATTCTAATCCTATAGATTGCCCGTATTTATTAAACTGAAGTGGAATTGAACTCAAGTGCAAATAAGTTGAAAAGAACAGATTTTTTACAATAAAACTGAAACATGTTGAGGATAAAAGTAATCACCACAAGACAGAACAAAAAGCCTAAAATACTTTTTGAATCTGAATAAATTACGACAGCATTTTTTCTTTTTTTCAATGATATAAACTCGAGATAAATTCCAGAAGCTTTTATCATTACAATCAGAGTAAGAAAGCCCGACGAACAAAGTGAATCTGATCATAAAGGAAGCCAATGCTTCTATGGCTCTATATTCTATCTGCTGAAATGTCAAATTCTTCGCATTTCTCTCCCTATAATTTGGCTTGCCATTCTTTTCAGACTCGTCTTAATGCACAAATCGACAAAATTTCAGGGTCATGATCTTTGAACAGTTTGTGGGCACCCCTTCGACTCCTATGCCCACATAGGCAAAGCCAGGGTTTGAGAGGAAGGGGAAGAGCGGGTCTGGGATATAGTCCATGTGAGAAGATAGAGAATCAGACAACTCTTCTTGACACAAAGCTATAATGTGTCAGCTGGTTTCTCCCCAGAAAGTTGGCATGGGTGCTACTCGATCATCCACCTCTACTATCCACTTGCTTATGGTGACAATGAGACTAATGTCCTGAAATGTGACATAATACGGCCACGACGAATGCGGTGTTGCCACTGTAGACGTAGCCAGATCATCACCGTGAAGAAAGTAGTAATTTGAAATGCCTTATAAAATACAATTTTTTTTTATGTTTCAAAATGAAGTAATGATGTGTGGCCATTGAGTTGGGAGTTATATATACACACACTCATTTCCTAAAGCTAATAGAATTCAGTTTTTCCAATGGTTTTTTAATTACTCACAAATATATGAATAAATCTAACTTAAATGAATTTATCCATTTAGGAAATATGAACAACAAATTTGATTGTTATAATTACTTGGTACACAATTTTTCATTTTTTATTAGGATTTAGCCCTTGGCCGACATCATCGAAAATGAAAAGTAGAAAAACTTGTGTACCATTAATTATAACAATTAAGTTTGTTGCTCATGTTTCCTAAATGAATAAACCCTGAACTATTTATGTTGGATGTATTTATATATATATGAGTAAATTAAAAACCCATTGGGAAAAAGTTGTTAGATTTAGGAAAAGCAGTGTGTATACATACATAACTCACTCCCCAACTTCATCTCCACATGAATTATTACTCCATTTCAAAAAATAAAATATTATTCTTTTATATTGCATTACAAATACTATATCTTTTCTTGATTTTTGATTTTGCCACATCTACAATGACATTGACAACACATTAACCGTCACGATCGCTATGACATCACCTTTCACAACATCAATCTCACCATTAACATAACTAACTGGGCCGCATTGGTGGATGAATTAGTGAAAGAGACCCTCAACAAGAATGGTGACCGCCATGGAAACCACATTTCCGGCCTAAACATTGTGGCACCCGTGCCAGCTGCCCATAGAGAACCCAATTGTCACACTCCAACTTTGCGTTGAAAATATTTGCCTAATTTTCTAGTTTCTCTACATGAATTAAATCATAAACTCGCCCTTCGCCTTCATTTCGAACTCAGGTTTTGCCTACGTGGGTGTCAAAGTCCAAAATAATACCCAGAAATTGTTCCGATATCACTAGTTAGTGGTCAAGAATTGTGTCAATTTGCAGTGTTTAGCTACCACCATGTTTGACGCAAACACAATAGTAGCTAAACACTGCATCTAGAGAGTTAGAATTAGGATTGTTGGGTTGGAGTTTGGGTATGGTGATCATTTCTACACGCGTCGTTGTGTGCTTTTTATGTTTGGTGCTTTTTGTTTGTTGTGTTTTCTTTTGTTAACCTTGGTTTGCTCTCTTCTTCCTTTTTAAAGTTTTGTGCTTTCTGTGCTCATAAGGGACACCCTCAGGGGTTGTTGTTGTTGTTGTATATACTAAATAAAGTTAACAATTAACTAAGTTCGTAAAAATTAAGCAAAAACTAATACTCCCTCTGTCCCAAAATAAAAGGCAGGGATATTTTTGTGTTGACTTTCCAAAAATACCCTTGATGTGATGTGTAGAAGTAAGATGTGATATGTAGATTATTACTAAAAAGGTATGATGTGATAGGTAGGGAATGAAAAAGTAAGGGGTAAAAGGATTTTTTTAAGGAAAAAAAAGTTTATTTGGGGACAAAGAAAAAATGAAAGGGGAATTTTATTTAGGGACGGAGGAGTATAAAATACTCCCTCCGTCCCAAATTATTTGTCACATTTCTATTACCGAGGCAAAATATCAAGTTTTTTCAATTCATTTTATTTACATATTGGTAAAAAAATAAAAAATAAAAATTACATATCAAAAAACTACATGAAAAGTTCATTTTATTTACATATTGGTGTCAAGAATATTTTATTTTATCAAATAACCAATGAAAATATAGAAATAAACAAAAGTTCCCGCGACTGTTGAAAAAGCAAATGTGGCAAATAATTTGGGACGGAGGGAGTACAAAATAATCAAGTAAATCACACCCTAAATCCTAATATTCGAAATTATCTGCAAATCGTGATTACTTACGTTTCAATTGGAGAAGTGGTGGCCAGAGGCGGCGACGCAGAGGCGGATAAACACCAGGCGACCAATGAGCAGCTAGGGTCCTGGCAGAGAGAGAGGCGATGTGACGGCCTGCGGACAGCGGACCGGACGACTGGCGGCGGCGGTGAACTCGGCCGAGTGGGCAAGTGGCGATGGGAAAATGCAATTCTTTGCAACTCATATCCAGAGAAGACTTGTTTGCTTTTTGGGAAATCCTATTTGTACCTTTGTACCCGTAAATACAAGCCAGTCTTACACCTACATTTTATTTTAATTTTTGATATTTTTCCTACTTTGATTTTTAAAGTTCTCATATTAACAATTTAACATGGGCAAGGTTACCAAACATTAGGAACCAATTTTATGGGATGATCCGAGGGTGCTCCGGTGCTCCGTTCGTAAAATTGACAGTTCCTGCCCCCTAACTTTCTCGGTTAACCCCCCACCCCACCTCGACCCGAACGCACCTCCCACCCCCTTCATTTGACATCAGTGTTAGATGTTACCGTTAGCATTTGAAAAAACTATCTAATAGTAATCTATATCATTAAAATTTTATATAAAAAATGTTGTTTTCAAACACGTAAACCAATAATATGGTGCAACATGCCAACAGACGACGTTTTATTACTGTCTCAATTCAGAGTTGTCCGACTTCACAACCAATTGTGGTGAAAGTACTGTATAAGACTATATAAGAATAACAATAACAGGAGTAACAGTTATTGCCTTTTCACAAGTGGAACTAATAAAGGGACTTTGTGTAACCCTACTACAAATAAGAAATTAAAATAAAATAAAATAAAAGAAAGAAACAGTTGAATCCCAAACATGGTCTAAGCAACAGCAGGCAAGTCCTTGATCCAGGCATCAAGAGGCTTACCAATGGAGTAGACAACAAACCCAATCTCTCTCAGCTTCCCCACATTCACAATGTTCCTCCCATCAAACACAAAAGCAGGCTTCTGCATCCCCTCATACATCCTCTGGTAGTCCAGCTCCTTGAACTCATCCCACTCCGTCAGAATGCACACCGCGTGGGCCCCCTTTGTCGCCTCGTACGCGTCCCACACCACGCTCACCTTCTTCTCTGCGCCGGGGCTCGCCGGCTGGAGGTGCCGCGGGTGGTCCCACTCGAACCGGTTCATCGTCAGGTCTCTTCTGATCTGCTCCTCGCTCACCTGTGGGTCGTATATGCTTATCTGGGCATTATCCCCTAAAAGCCCCTTGCAGACATCAATGGCTGGAGTCTCCCGCGTGTCTCCCGTGTCCTTCTTGAAGGCGAACCCCAAGACGGCGATTTTCTTGTTCGAGACGGTGTTAAACATGGAGGAAACGACGCGGTTGACGAACCGGCTCTTCTGGTAGTCGTTTATCTTGACAACCTGCTTCCAGTACTCAGCCACTTCGGGCAGCCCGTTGCATTCGCAGATGTAGACGAGGTTGAGGATGTCCTTCTGGAAGCAGGAGCCGCCGAACCCGACGCTGGAGTTGAGGAACTTGGGACCGATCCTCGTGTCCTTGCCAACAGCGTACGACACCTGGGAAACGTCCGCTCCGGTCGCCTCGCACAGAGCTGACATGGCATTGACAGAGGATATTCTTTGCGCGAGGAATGCGTTGGCTGCCAGCTTTGACAGCTCAGCAGACCATAAGTTGGTGGTGATGATGCGCTCTTCCGGGACCCAGTGGGCATAGACTTCCTTCAGTGTCTGGACTGCCTTGTTGCCTTCTGGGGTCTCCCGACCTCCGATGAGGACCCTGTCGGGTTGGAACAGGTCTTCAATGGCAGTACCTGTTAAAGTGTAGAAAATAGTGAGCCTGTTTGGCACTGATTATTCCATGAACAATAAGCTTTGTATAATAAGCAATAAAAATCACAACCCAACATAATCCCAACTTTGTTGGGGTCAAGGGTCAAGATGTACGCAGTCCCTTGTAAACAAGAGAAAGCCAATTTTAGGGCCGCTTTATGATTGTAAAAGCGACCAGCAAAAACCATGACTGCTGCAAAGACCAATGTGCCGACTGAGGTGCAATGGAGTTGTTTTCCTTAAGACCCTAGATGCATTGTTGCATTTACTGTCGAAAAGTTCATAGAAAGTAAGAAGCTAAGTCTAATGTGCCATTTTGATTTAGTCTACTATGTGCCGGAAACTAAAAAATTATCAATGACTCCTTTAGCTCCATCGACAATTAGCGGAATAAGCACTCATGAGAATAATCAGAAACCGGAATGCCAGACATATAAAACAGCAGCCTGGAGCTAAAAGTAGATGGTTTAGTTTGTGATTTAAAATTTAGGTTTTATAACCGAATAAACCGATCACGCAAACCTAAGCAAATTAAAACTGGCCGAAACAGACAAAAACGACTAAAACTGACCTAACTAAAATGGACTTCAGTTATTCTGTTCAGTTTTAAAATTGCATTTTCAAAACTGAAATGGCAAATCCAAACTAATGAAATCATGAGGTGATAGTAAGTTTCAATCCATATCATTATCAATAAAAGTGGTACCTTCAGCAAGAAACTCAGGATTAGAGAGGATCTGGAACTTTATCCCCTTGCTGTTGTGAGTCAAGATTTTCTCAATGGCCTCAGCTGTTTTAACCGGGACTGTGGACTTCTCCACCACAATTTTATCAGACTTTGATACATCGGCGATCATGCGAGCAGCGCTCTCCCAATATGTCAAATCTGCAGCTTTGCCAGCCCCAAGACCACGTGTCTTGGTTGGGGTGTTGACAGAAACAAAGACAATATCGGCCTCGCACACATGTTTCTCCACATCTGTGCTGAAGAAGAGGTTCCTTCCTCTGCACCCTTTGACTACGTCGTCAAGGCCTGGCTCGTATATAGGGAGCTGGTCACTATTCCATGCACTAATCCGCTGCACAGAGATGTCGACTACTGCTACTTCAATCTCCGTGCACTTGTATGCTATCACGGCCATGGTGGGACCGCCCACATATCCAGCACCAATACAGCATATCTTCACCATTACAAAACTCTGCAGATTTAAAATATTTCAAGTATATCCAAAACTAAAAATGTACAAATGGCTTGCCGTACCAAAGAATTTCCCTATATATAGTCCATATGATGTTGGGAGTGTGAAGTCAAGAAACATTTCATAAGCTTTGTATCCAAGGAGGATACACAAAGTTTCTGGCAGCAGGCTTTCATTGATCATTACCCAAAAAGGTACTTATTATGCTTAACGACTCAATCGACCTCCCTCTCGGCTCTCAAGTCTCAACCTCACCAAGATTGACCTCACCTTACTCCTACTTTGTTTTCAGAATACAAACCAAACAAGCAATGAGATCTGTCATACCTAAATGCAAATTTTCCAACCCTCATTTCTTAACTAGTAAACCAAATGGCCCTAAACAAAAACAACAAAAGCCAAGGCTACAAATTTTTTTTATGTTTTTTTGCACAAATTCCGTCCAGATCTAAGAAGCAACATTGCATTCAAATTCAACATATAAAGGCTCCAGATCAAACACTATGCATGCAGATCTAACAAAACACAATGATCACATATACCAATTACGCAACGAACAAGAGATCAGGGCATCAGCCACAAAGCATAAACAAACATAATTCCCTCCCAAAAGTAACGAATCCGTACGATTTCGACACAACCGCGTTTCAGGGAAAGATCATTTCACAACGAACGCCAATGTACATGTGCATATAGCTCGCAGATGAAAGGAAGCATGCAATAGGTAGAGAGAGATCACCTGTAAGATGGCTCGTTGGGCGTTGAGAGGATGCAAGAGCGTGAGAATGACTGAGAGAGAAGCGGAATGAGAGGGGCTACAATGGCGGGGACATGCTTATATGGTGGTTACCCGTTACAGATCTAGAAAATTGGTAGCCATTAGAGAGGAAGAACAGTGACAGGGCAGAAAAGGTAATAAGGGAAATCGTTTAGGTAACGTGCGATTATTCCTAATATTGTCTTCTTCACTTGTTTTATTCCATTTTTTATTTTTTTAATTCTAATCTTTTGAAAATCTTTATCTATTTGTGTAGTTTTTATTTATTATTTGATAAAATAAAATATTTTATCGTTTCCTATTTTGTATTTCCTTTGTCCCTAAATATTTGTCACATTTATATTTCCGAAGTTAAATATCAAATTTTTTCAATTCATTTTATTTACATATTAATATATAAATAAAAAATAAAATTTACATATCAAAAAACTACATGAAAAATTCTTCAAAATAAGAGGTGCCAAGAAATTTTATTTTATCAAATAAGCAACGAAAACATAGAAATAAACAAAAGTTTCGCGACTGCTGAAAAAACAAATGTTGCAAATATTTTGGGACGAAAGGAGTATAACTTTTGATGCAACGTTTTAAAATTTAAGTTGAGTTGTTTATTTATATACCTATTTATGAATAGAATAAATTTAAGGAGAATGAGGTTTTGTGTCGTAACTCCAATAGTATAAACGACTTTGGGATAGAGAGTTACAATGTAAAACAAAATGTATGAGTTCGAACTTGTGAGCTCTCATCAGATAGAGTTCTACCGTTCGATACTTTTGGACTTTAGCTATTCACTTGCTTCTCTTGTCCCAGATTTTTTTTTACATTTTGACTTTTTCGGTCAAATTTTACACAATTTAGTCACAAATAGTAGAAAAAAGTATATATAATTTATAATTCTAATTTAATATAATTAAACATTTGTTTATTTAAAAAAAGATTAAATTTTCAAAATGGTCATTTGTAATAAGGTGTTTCCCAATTCAATCCACAATAAGTTTTAATTACCTACATGATTCTCTATAATTGAGATTTATTCTCAAGATAGTCCTTCGTAAATATTGTCACTCAAACGATGATTAATTGGAAGATACTTTGGTATTTTAATCATCCAAATTTAAAGTATATTCTCGAAACAGTCATTTTTGAACAACTAAATGTAAAATTTTAAAAATACATTGACTATAAATAATTCATAAACTATTTAAAACTTAGAAAAAATATTATAAATTAAATTTCAAATGAAATACAAATCTTTAATTATAAAAACCATTTTAGGAAAGCACTTCATTATAAATGATCATTTGAAGAATTAATTCTAAATCTAGCGGATAAAAAAAAATACTCAAATATGCTCAATTAATTCTCATTTGAGTAACATTATTTACGAAGGACCAGCTTGAGAATAAATCTCAATTATAGAGGACCACATAGGTAATTAAAACTTATTGAAGACTGATTTGGGAAAAATAATTTATTACAAAGGACTACTTTGGGAATTTACTCTTAAAAAAAGTATCAATGGTCAATATAAGTAGCAACTTCATAAAAAACAAATTATAACTTTTTGGGGGTGGAGGAGCATTATTCAAATCGTGTTTTGAATTTTAAGACTCTAGGTTTTTCGATTTAAAGACTATGATTTCTTTTGTATTTTAAAAGTTTATGATTATTTAATTTGTATTTTTTGCGATAAACAAAATGAAATGTGCAATACGTGAATGACTCCATCAAACTACTATACTCAGATTCTCAGAAACAACGATATCATTATTAGATATATCTCTAATCATCTCCAAGATTATGACATAAGAGAGAGCAATCTCCCTTGAAATTGTCACCACAATCAATCAACTACAATAAGTTTTTTAGCCTCCAACTCTCACTTTATTCTTCAGTCACATTAATACTCCGTTCATCTATCGTCTCATTTTCTTTTCAGATGTCCCAAAAAATGTTACATTTCTCTACTTTCCTAATAAACTTAAAAAGTATGTTTCATATGGTTTTTTTTCATCTAAATAAATTTCAATCGCTTACTATTTTTTAAAAAATATCAAACTTTGTGAACATTAAGTGTGTCAAGTTTCCTATTCAAAAAGTGACAAGCTTTTGTAGGACTAAATAGTAAATACACATTTTGAGTAGATTTTGCATTTATACATGTTTGGTGAATGCAAGATATATGAATTCTGATATCTCTTTATTTCAGACTTATTTTTTGGTGTTTTGAAAAGTATAAACAGAATTCAAATATGACATTTCCATATATCACAAATCCTCCAAATATAAGATTTTGATATCTTCAAAATTTGAGGCATATCATTGTGTGATTGATATTTTTCTCAGTTGTCGACCATCGTTTGCCATCGACGATCCTTTTCACTACCAAGAACCAACAACTCTTGTTGTTGGCCATACTACCTATCACAATTTAAATCATGGTTTTAAATCCCTTTAAATAGTTTAATTTCAAATTTTATAACATACGAAGTACATAATATATATTATTTTTTCTAAATTTCAGAACACATATCATATCAATTCTTACCATAGACTTAGTACTAAGGTTCATATTTGAAAAACAAACCTTCTCTCACAATTAGTTGGATCTTTTATTATTACAAAATCCACTTATAATCATTATTCTATGAAAATTAAGGTTTTTAAAATGAATACCAAAATTTGCACACCAAACACGCCTTAAATACTGGGTAAATCCTTCTCTTTGCCAATTCAAACGGAACGACGGGACACGAGCGCCTAGAAGGAAGAAGTAGCCGTTACTTTTTCTTTGTGAATTCTCAGTATTCAATCTTCACGTAGTCATTCTAACCGTTTCCGGTGACATAGAGCGGTATTTTCCCGGCGGCCCTCATGGAGTCGAACAGAAAATCCATCGGAGTTTCGGAAAACATCGATCCCAATACATCAAGCCCTGGTTCAAAGATCACCGGCTCTCCTTCGATCACCACATCCGCGATGAAAGCTTCGAAATCAGCCCAGAAAAGCCCAAATCCGGCGGATTTCGGTTCGAAGATCACCAGTTCTCCATCAATCGCCAATTCAGCGAAGAAATCATCAAAATCGGCTTCTTCTCCCTCGCCGCTGCAGAAGAAGATTCGGCAGAGGAAGTTCGTGGTGGCCAAGCGGAATCCGAAGTCGAAGAAGGAGAGCAATGATTCTTCGAAAGCGTCACAGCTGGTGGCTTGTAAGTGCGGAAAGGGCGGTGGGAGGAAGTGTTCGTGCGTCGCGTATGAGTCTCTTAGGGCTTCGCACGAAGAGTTCTTCAAAAGCCTCCGATCAATTGGCTGCGAGGAAACTAATCTGGAGGCGTTGCAGATGCGCATTGGGGCGGAGATCGGAAGTAACGAATTAGAGGAGGGGAAGAGCAACAAAGACACTGTGGATGGTTACTGTAATTTGGAATCATCGAACGCACACAAGGTGATCGGTGAAATGGGCGTGAAGAGAAGTAGGGACGAGTTGTTAGGAGATGGTGGGGAGAGGGAGAATGTGGCTGTGGCTCAACATAGTTCTGGAAAAGTGATGAATCTAGTTCAGGCTTTTGAGAAACTTCTCAAAATTCCACATGATACTGAGGAGGAAGAAGATCATAAAAGGGGGTTTAAATTAGAATTTTCTAGCCAAAGGGACTGTCCATCTTCTTCCTTTCACCCATCAGTTTGTGTACTCACCCGTGAAAGTCTAGGGATGTGTTCACAGGGCTCACTTTCTTTCGATAGCAGCCATGGAAGGTTAGCAATAACTACTTGATTGATTATATTCGTAATTCCATATCGAACTTCTCTTGATTCTTGAGTTCTAATTATATTTTTCTTGGTTTTCCTAAATTCAAGAACTTCAAGCCAGATATCTGAAGGACGAAAGAGTAGGCGTAATGTGAGTTGACTACCCTTCTTCACCTTGAATGGAGATCAGAAGACGTTATTATTTGTTTGTTCTTTCACTTTTTTAAAAAAATCTAATTTGTTATTTAAAAATCTTTAGAGTTCGGAATCGTTTGGGGTTGCTTCTAGAAGGCACCAAAAGAGAAGGCAACTTAAAGCAACCTTCCAGAAGCCATTCAATCTTAGAACTGAGGTTGTTTAAATTTTAAGTTTCTAACTTCATTCGCCATTTGAAGTTGTTATAAGTTTGTAATCATATCTCTTCATGGAAACCTTGTTGTCCTTCACTCTTCTGCAGCAAAGAGGAAGGTATAAGGAGGAAGAATTTCATAACAAACTAAAGCAGATGGAGGAAGAAGACAAGAAAAACCGGATTCCAATTGCACAAGGTCTTCCATGGACAACAGAAGAGCCAGAGGTAGTAGTTCTATAGGCTGGTTTCTCTTTTTGGTTGATTCTGTTCTTAGAATTAGCTGATTCTGGAGTATAAACGTGTTGATTACTTCAGAAAACTGAGCCTGCAACTGATTCTTTTTTAGAATGTAAAACAATTGATACAATGACCTAATTTTCATATGCAAAATGGCTCCTTTATTTTAGTTGGGGCGTAACAGCAATGATTAACCAAGAACTTGCTTGTGCTTATATACTGCATTGTTGTGCTAGTGTTGCAGTGTTTGCTTAACTGATATTTGAACAACAATGATTAACCAAGAGCTTGTTTGTGCTTATATACTGCATTATTGTGTTAGTGTTTCAGTGTTTGCCCCCCACCCATCCCCCCACCCCCCACCCCATTATGGTGCAATTAGTGCAGTTGTTGCTGTGTTACTGTTTTGCCCCTTCAAAAAGCTTGTTTTGTTTCAGTGCCTCGTGAAGCCTCCTGTGAAAGAGAGCACAAGGGCAATTGATCTCGTACTACACAGCGATGTGAGGGCTTTAGATCGAGCAAAGTTCGACCATAAGGTACTTTTTTTCTCAAAAAATACAGTCATTCACTTATTCCCAATAATTCTATTTTTAAAAGCCTAGTAAGATACTTGAACTCAGGGATCTTTCAATACAAACATTTGTTTCCTGTTATTATTGGCTTCTCTCTCTGTGGGTTTGCTGCATTTTTTATTGAATGAGTATATAAAGCTCCGTTTGGGAATAGAGTTTGTAATTAACATTCGCATTTTGGATAATTCTTTGATGGTACCAATATACTGTAAAATGCTACCGCTAAAAAACAGTTCCAAAACGTCAAAGTTAATGCAAAGCAGAGCCTAAATCATGCAACCTTTACTCACATGGACCATCATTTTAGCAGTATTTGTGTGTTTAAACAGTTCAATTCTGGTTAGGAGTGCTCTTCCATGAACTCACAAATGGGAATGTACAGTCAATAGTTTTCTATGCATTTTATTCACCATCTTATCAGTTATTTGTTGTGCAATGTACACATCAGGTGGCAGAGAAATTGAGCTTCATCGAACAGCAGAAAATGGAAAGGGAAAGACTACAAAAGGTTTACCTCTAAAAATTATGAATTTGGATACGGTTTTCATATTTCCGTTTAATTCCATTCATTTTTTCATATGTTCTTAGTTGGAGGAAGAAGAGGAGATCCGAAGGCTTAGAAAGGAGCTTGTCCCGAAAGCTCAACCACTGCCTTACTTTGACAGGCCCTTCATCCCTCGAAGGTAAAATCGCCTTCTTTTTATATATGTTCATGTTTTTTCCCACTTTTTTGTATGTATGTATATACAGACTAAATTTACAGAACAACCAACTGTTCATTGCATCAGGTCCGAAAAGGCCCTGACTTTTCCGCAAGAACCGAAATTCCATATTCCTCAGCACAAGAAGATCAAATGCTGCAATGTGAGTGAGCAAGGGTTTCAGTTTAGAGGATCATGGCTTCAATTTGATAGCAATAGCTATTGATCACACTCTCTTAGAGCTAGAGTTTGTGTTGCTTGGAACCATTGCATTGGAAAAACATGAAAACACCACATAAAGAGCATTCTTTTTTTTATTTAAAATATTAGTCTAAAGGCTACATGGAAATTTTTTACCTTTCACTGTGCCTTTCACCACCCTAACTTTTGACCCCTGACTTCTCTAGTTTAAAAAAATTGAAGGGTTTGCACTGCAAACAGAAGGTAAAATTATACTCCATCCGTTGTCAAAAACACTTCTTTCAAAATTTTCACTTTCAACAAAATACTTCTACTTTCTATTAAAAAAACATTTTTTCCTTACTTTTTTACCCTACCTATCAGATCATATTTTCTCTAATAATCTATCTATCGTATTTTACTTTTATTCATCATATTAAAGGCAAAATTGGAAGTCAATTATAATTTACCACTTCCTTATTTTTACACTTTCTAATTTGGAACTTTTTTTTAGAACGGAGGGACTAGATAGTAGGTTATTCTATTCAAAGGGTGGAGTTTTTTGAGAACAACAATTTCTAGACACCATAAAAAGCACTCCGAAGAAAAGAGTTCTTTTAATTTTATGATCTCTCGATAACTTTTGTTAGCATAATTTCATTAATCATTTGATAAAATATAATATTCTTGATAACATTTATTTTGTAGAAGTTTTGATTTAATTTTTAAATATATAAGTTGTATTTTTAGTTTCAATACCCCTTTGTAAATAAAATTATTTAAAATTTATGAAATTTTACACGTTGTTTGATTAAGGTAAATACTTTTGGGATAGAGAGTGACTTTTTAAAACAAATCAATTCATTTTTTTTTGCAAGAACTACAAATTAGACCTGGGGAGAATCTTTTTTAAATAGGAAAAATACACAATTTGGAAAAAGTGTCATGCGTGTTTAAATACGCAATATGGGCATGTAGAGAATTATGGATTTGTTTTACTAAGAAAATTTATCTTATAACCTTAGACAGTAATATTAAAAAGTTAAAAGGTCTATTTGAAATAGAGATAAATCATTTTAGGAAAATAATTTCTAAAAAAAATTATTTTTCTAAAGTCATTTTTATTTTTCAAAACTTATATTTTTGTTTGGCTCATTTTTAGCAATTGAGTTTTGGAATTAGAGACCCTATGTTCCGTAACTCTAATCCCAATCCTCATCTAGAATTGTCTATTAAAAAAACTAGAAAAAATTAGAAAAAGCTTAAAAGAAATTAAAGAAGTTATGAGTTAAAATAAGTTTGAAGTTAGAAAATAGTCAAAATACTGAAGAAAAAAATACACTGTAAAATGCTAAAAAAAATTATTCAATTAAATATATAAGAAAACTAACTTTGAATTTATAAAAATTCATCATCTTTATCTATGTTTGATGTGTTATGTTATAAATATAAATATATAGTATTACTCTCTTCGTTTCTAAATATTTATCTACTTTTAATTTTTTGATCAAAATTACACTTTAATACACTTAGACTTCAAATTAAATAAAAAAATTATTAAATATTGATACAAAAATAATTATATTAGATTTATTATACTCCCTTCGTCCCCCTATATTTGTCCATATTTGATTTTTGGAACTGTTCATCTAAGCACTTTGACTCATCAAATTCTCTCAATGTGTAAGACTAAATATAGTCATGTGTGATTTTGTTTGATTTGTCTTAACATAGATTATTAATTTATAATTTTTTAATATACAAATTACAAGATAAAATGGATTAAAGAAATGCATTGGATGGTATGTAAAAAAGAAAGTAAACAAATACAGGAGAACGGAGAGAGTATCAAATATTTTCAAAATATTGTTTTATTTAATTAATATACAATATATATTTTATGTAATTATAGGTCCAAAATTAAAAATAATTGATCAAAATATCAAAACTACACAAATAATAAAGAACGATTGTAGTATTATATAATCATCATATCCTTTATTATAATAAAGGAGACTCGGATGCACGAGAATGCGACATTTGGCACGCCTATTTGGCAAAAAATGGAACACATCAGCAAGCCACGTAATCCTTTATCCTTTATATATAATATTTGAGAGTTAAACTCTCAGAATTGCGACATTTGGCGTGCTGACTGGAACTTCTTTGACACTTCATCAGCCACGTCATCAAAATCAACTTCCTCAATATTTCAAACGAGTTGGGCTTCTAGAATTGTGACATGTGGCGTGCTTATTAAACAACTTTTTTAACATATCAGCATGTCATGTTAGCAAGTAATGTTTAAAAAATAGTTAACAAAAAAACTTATTATACGGAAATTAAATTTCATATTTATTACACACAAATTTCTCCATATAATCGCGTTTAAAAATTTTTATATTTTCATTCATTATTAAAAAACATTTAAATTAAATAGTATATTTTGAAATTTAAAAAAACACCTATTCAAAAACTATAATCAAAACAAATAAATTTACTTTAAGAACAGATAGATTGGTAGAACTAAACGAAATTACATTTGATTTTTTTGCTTTGAATTAATACTAATTGGAGAGATTTTCTAATTATTTAAAAAAAAGAAACAAATATATAAAAGGAAATGAATTTTTATGGGCACGCTTATTTAATAGATCATTAATTTTATTCCGTATATATAAAAAATTTTAAATCAAATAAAAAGTATGTTCCATTTTAAAATTAGTATTTTACATTTTAAAATTATTGTTTTCCATGTATATCTTTTTAAAAATTTACATGTAAAATGTGCTAATTATTTTGACATCTATGTCAAAATAATATAAGTAAGAAATATTCTTTCTTATTTATTCATTGAACCATCGACATCAATGTAACAAATATTAGTGGATAATAAAAAAAATATTTAAAGTTTTTAGATAAAAAATTATAATATTTATTTTATGATGCTTATTACAAATCAATTGAATAAAGATTCAAAACATCTAAAGTTTTCAATTTATTGCATAAAAGAAAAAGTTTAATTGCCTCTTCTAAGGAGAACCATATGATTTGCTCTATAATTTATTTTGTGGTCTTGGTGTGAAGAGTTCCCATTACCATGAAAAAGTTAAATAAATACAACTGTATGTTTTCATTAACATTTATAAATGGAAATATTGATACATCTTAAAATAATGGTTGAGCAATAATGTACTCTCAGCGGACACATTCATCATCATCACATATCATGTTTAATGTCACGATATGGTGAAAGACCAAAATTTACGCAATTGTATATTTATGGTATACAGAACGAGATTTGAAAACAAATAACTCATTTTAGGCATCTCGAATACGTTATTGAGTACACCCTTTTAATAAAAGTCTTATTTACATGTGTTTGGCAATATAATACACATGGCACATTATTAGCATGCTAATAAAAACAAATTGTTCTATTTGTTTCGCACAGTAGGGAGAATAATTCTTTGACTACTGATAAAAGTTTGGTCAAAGATTTGAAAAATATGGTAGATGAGCATAATGTTTTAACACATATATTTAGAAGAACTAAAGACTTCATGGAAAATGAGCCTACTTATAATGTATCATTGAGGCTGTTGATAAGTAAGACTTAATATATAATGAGCCTACTTCTAATGTATCATTGAGGTTGTTGACAAGTAAAACTAGAGACTCAAGAAATTATAATATCTCCACAATACATGAAGCTGGTGCTCTAATAGTTAAAGATCTTGATTTTTAACACAAGTTATCCCCCAAGCATATACTCCCTCCGTCCCCCAAAGATGTTCTCATTTTGACTTTTGGTGGTTTTTAAGGAGAGTTGAAAAAAGGTGAAAGTTTATCATAATACCCTTAATGAAAAATGGGTAGAGTGTATTATATGAGGTGGGTGAGGTGTAATAAATAAAGTAAGTGGGGGTAGTTGTGATATTTTAATTGTTAAAAAATGAAATGAGAAGATCTATTGTGGACAAAGAAAAAGGGCTATTGAGAAGATCTATGGGGGACGGAGGGAGTAGTAAACTTCACTTATCCGAATTTATTGGTGAACATAAAAAACTACTCCCTCCGTTCTAAAACTTTCTTCTCGGTTCGCAAAACGAAGAAAAATCCCAACTTTTTTTAATCTATTTTATTTAAATATTGGTATAGAAATAAAAAATAAAAGATACATATTTAAAAACTACATCAAAAGTTCAACAAAACAAGTGGTGACAAGAATATTTAATTTTATCATATAAGCCATTAAAATATACAAATAAATATAAATTCCCGTGAAGTTGGAATAGTGTACTGGGAAGAAAGTTTTAGGACGGAGGGAGTATTATATTCTTTTTTTTTAAGATAATGCACTATTGGCACCCGTGCTCGAAGTTATTGAATGGTAATGAATTTGTCTCATCCTTTATTACATGAGGTGAAAAGTAGTACTTAATTTCTTATTTTTCATGCCAACAAGTTTGGAAAAAAGACATTTTTGAGTACATTTTCAATCTTCAAATATTATTTATTCTACCTTGGTGTTTTTGTCCAATGATAAAAAATCATGTTAGAAATATATTTACTTGATCCGGAAAATATATTGCATTAAAAAAAAACAGAATCGACAAAAATTTCATCGACTCCGTGCATCGCACGGGTGAAAATACTAGTGTACATACATTTTTGAGACATTGTTGAAAAAAATTAGAATTACATAAAAAATCAAAACAAGTTCAAAGAAATTAGAAAGAATTAGAAAAAAGCAAGAATTGGAAAAAATTGTTAGTTAATTTTTCCAAAACAAAAAAAATCTAAGTATCATTCTTAGTTAGGCATCGAAGGGTTGAAAATGTATCAAAGGCTCAAAAATGAATCTAGTAGCTTCAAAGGTTGATCTTTAGAAAGAATCAGACTTCAAAAGTTGTCCCAAAAGAATCAGTTGACCAACATGCATAGAGCATTTAAATACTTGGTAAATCACTTAAACATTGCACACAAAGTAAAATCACTTGCAGTAAGAAAGTGTTCCATCTCATGTTAAAGAGCCCAGCATGAAAAAAAAATTTCAAACAATGACTAAGAACCCAATGTGAGGAAAGTGATAACTAAGTCAAATGATAGAGATTCATAAGATTAATGTTCAAAGAACTTCAACACAAACAATGTGAGCAAAACATAACAGTTCTACAATGTATTCAAAAAGAAGATTGTCTCAAAACTTTGGAAGTGACATGACTTGAACTGACCAAACAACACAGATATAAATAAATTATTAAGCCGTTGCAATGGCAATCCTTCCGGCAACCTGGTCAAGGTCTTGCTGCCCCTTTGATGTTATCCTCCTTCCACTGAAAAAGAAAAGAAAAAAACACAATAACCAAATTAGAGAAAGAAGTTTGAAGCCAACAAAATAAAAAGAAAAGGCCTGAATTTGATTTTTTTTTTTTGAATAAAACTTTTTGTTCATACCCTCTGGCGTCCTTTTCAATGATTTTCAATTTCTCCAACTGTTGAAGAATGTGACGGGCAATAGATCCACTGCTCTTGCAGAAATGCCTTGGGCGGCTTCCATTTCTCTTGTTTCCCCCATAAATCCGCTGGAAGGCACCAACTCCGAGGCCACCACGCTGGTAAATCTTCCTAACCATAGATGCTGCAAAACAAGACTGGTGTTCAGATACACGTATACATTATATATTGTCATTGGGAAATGATTCTGGAGTTAGTCATTACCAGTTCTGGTGTAATACCAGTCAGGGTCATATGGAGAAAGCTCTTTCGACTTCCCAGTTTTGACAATGTCAGTCCACTCTGGAAGCTCCATCTACAGGGACAAGGGAAGGCCATTATTCATTAAAACAACCTAGTCCATAAAATGCATGCCAACTGGAGTATGAAATAAATACAAGAACTATGTAGTATCATAGACATGGAGCATACAAATAGGCTAAATTAAATGAGGATGTCATGCATACCCAACCACACACAGTGGCATGACAAATTGACACACAGTCACACACACACACAATGAACCTTACATCAATTTTACTTCATTGACCACCATTTTGCAGCACATATTGAGATCAATCCAAGACCAAATTGTACAAGAATTGTTATGATCCATCCTTAGATAGAAATTAATGAGAATAGACAATGCAATCAAAACTAAAAAAACCAAGTAAAATCCCACAAAAAGTAAGATCTAGGTGGTGTATGTGTGCAGACCTTGCCCCTATTGGGGAGTAGAGAAATTATTTCTGATACCCAGGTTCAAATTGTTGAATAGCTAACGCATTAATTAAACGCTTAAAACTCTATAATGGGTTATCAATGATAGGGTTGCATGACATTATTATGAACTCAAAGAGTTGCAAAAGCACTAAGACACATTATTCTACCCAGGTTTATTCTTTTTCCTTTCCAACATATAAATAAATGACACTCAGTTGATAAGGGAATTCATTTCATTTAAAAATATAAATAAAATAGCAGTTTAATGCTGAGAAAATAGGTGAAGACGCAAAATCAATTCATAACCTTCCTCGAAAATCAAAATACACTAGAGCGATAAAACAGGAGTATATATGTATGTTTCACCACACAAACATTCAAAAACATCAAACGCTACTTGGTAAAAATGAAACAGTTCTTCATCAGGCCTACCATTCTAAAAGCTAAGAAATAGCAAACAGCATTTCAAAAATGTGAGGTATTTAAGAACTTTTGTTCTAAAAGAGCACATAAGCTCAGATCAAACTCGTGAAATCCCTTCTACTCTTCAAAGTTCAGAATAAGCTCTAGAAGTGCCTAATCAATTGAAAGGCGCAGGAAGAAAACGACGAACAACAATAAAATCAATCCATATTAATTCATGTAACGCAAAGTCAATTCATAGGACTACCAGACTAGAAACTCAAGCGGAAAATAAACAAAACAGCGCGAGCAGTTTGTACCTTTCCGGAACGCTTTAGGTGAGCAGAGTAAGCCCTCACGAAATCGTGAGGAGAAACGTCTTTCACAGTTCTCGCTGTCGCCATGGCCGCCGATTAGGGTTTCTGAGAGAGGGAGGGAGCGCGCGGCGCAGTGACGGAGGCGATGGGCTTCTCAGTATTCTGATCTCGAAGTCGAGCAGGTTTCGTTTATATACAGGTGTAAATTAAGGCCCATTGGTTCCGCCAGTTTGGATTTGTTTGTTTCTCCGGACAACAGATAAATAAGAATTGGGCTTTTGGTCCGGATGAATATCTACAGGCTACAGCCACTTGTTTGGGTCTATGGTTCAAATGCTTTGCTTAATTAAATATTTAACCATGTTACAGTTATATATATCAAGAAATGTATCTCAAAGTTATACTAAAGATGTTATTTCAGAGTATTTATCTAGTTTTGATTTTTTTAATTAATCATTTTCAATATTTGACATATACTTAAATAAAATGCTTATTTTATATCAATTAGATAAAATAATATTTTGAAATATTTTATATAATAAATCTAATAAAAACAATTTTGTATCAATATCTAATAGGGGAGGTTACCTAAATATGACTAAAACATAATGACTTTCTCAATATAAGACCATATGTTTTTATTTTCCAATGTAAGACCATTGATCAATATTCAGTAGTCATTATTCAACTAAATGTCTACCATCACCATTATTCCTCCCACTAGATATTATTAAGTACTACATAAGGAATAAAAAAATTTAAGTCCTATATTGGGAAATAACTTATATTTTAGTCTTATTTAATGCAAATTTCACTATTTAATACTATTTTTATTTAATTAAGGGTTAAAATTTGCCAATTTTGATCGAAAATGTCAAAAGTAGATAAATATTTCAGTATAGAGGGAGTTTATACTAACATTTTGATAGTTCACTTAGATATAAATGCTAGTGCGATTAAAAAAATTGCACTAACATTTTGTGCATTTAGAACCACTACCAATGCACTACACTGACACAAAAAGAAGGTGCACGCCTGTAATATACAATTTGGGGTACAAATTTCGAGATACAAATAGCTTAATCCTTAAATATTCAAAAATCACCCTTAGTTTCAACCAAAATGTTAGGTGTATGCCACTTTGGTATACACCAACGTGTTATAGATACACAGAGACAACAATTGTCCGAGTACCTATAACACACTAATTATTTAACAAAAATTTTAAAAACCAAGAAAAACTATGATTTGAGTGAAATTTGGTGACATGGCATGGCAAAGTAAGACATTGCCATGCATTCTGAATGCTTAAGGGCTTGAGGGAATTCTTCGTATTTGGTGCTAGAAAACCAGGCCCATACGACGCCGTTATAATGATTTCTTGTGATACAATGTTTGATTGATTGGTCTAGTCTTCTGTTCTTTCGTCTTCATCCTCCGCCTAGCAAACCCTAGCCAGGGGAGCATCCACCAGCCATGGCGATCCGGCAGCTCCTGAACCTAGCCCGCCGATCCCGGAAGGGCATCCCTTCCCGATCAGGAAACCATTTCTCCACATCATCTGTGGCGGTTGCCGCCACCGGAACGGAAGCCCTGTCGCCCTCGGCGCCACCTCCAACCGCCATGATCTACGACCGCCTAGCAGAGTCTGTCAAGCACAAACTCCATCGTCTCGAGAACCCCGACTCGCGGTTTCTCCAATACAATTCCCCTCACCCTGTGTTGATGGACCACACTCCAATCCTTGCCGCCCCTGTTACCCGCGTCACCACTCTGCCGAACGGTCTGAGAGTCGCCACCGAGTCCAATCTCGCCGCCAGAACAGCCTCCGTCGGCGTGTTCATTGGTTCTGGCTCTAGGTTCGAAACCGAGGAGACGAATGGCACGGCTCATTTCCTTGAGCACATGATATTCAAGGGCACAGAAAGACGTACTGCCAGGGAATTAGAGGAAGAGATCGAGAATATGGGGGGGCATCTCAATGCATACACTTCTAGAGAGCAAACCACTTTCTATGCCAAGGTCTTGGATAGGGATATCCACAGAGCTTTGGATATTTTAGCTGATATCATTCAAAATTCCAAGTTTGATGAGAAACGAATTGATAGGGAACGAGATGTCATTCTCAGAGAGATGGAAGAGGTGATCTCTTTCATTCTACTTTGCTCTTTGGTTAAAAGTTTGCATCTTTATGTTTTTAGGATCTTCACCGGGTTTCTTTTTTGGAGGTGTAAAATTGAACTTTACTCTTATAGTTAGAGCAGTTTCTACATATTTTTCTCCCCTTAGGAATAAAATATGAATTATAGAAGCCACAAGGCTTGACTTTTTTAGGAGTATGGCTGGAGTCATTGTTCTTGTGGAGCTCAGCTTCTATCTGATTGCCTATGCATATTCCTGTTATTAATGTAACTCAATGTTCAGCTTCTGTAATGGTTGAATTGCAGGTAGAGAGTCAGACAGAAGAGGTTATTTTTGACCATCTACATGCAACTGCTTTCCAGTACAGTCCTCTAGGTAGAACAATTCTGGGACCTGCTGGGAATATTAAGACAATCACCAAATCACATCTTAAAGACTACATTATGACACACTACACTGCCCCCAGAATGGTATTTGTGACTAATTCTTTTTATTAACCAAGTATTTTTTTCTTATATTGTCACATGCTAACTTGTGTTGGGACACTCTTTGCTGGTCTCTATGCTCAAAAACATTATTCTCTGTGTGTGTGTAGGTGATTGTTGCATCTGGTCCTGTTAAACATGAAGACTTTGTTGGTGAAGTTCAGAAAATGTTTACAAATCTGTCAACAAATCCAACTACTGCTTCAGAGTTAATTGCTAAAGGACCTTCAGTATTTACAGGTTCAGAGGTACATACATCTCATTTGAGTGGTTTCTTTTTAAAAACATTTCATAACAAATAGTCGTGATTAGTAGTAATAGACCTTTATTTTAGTCCAGTCCTACTAACTACTACTGTAGGGTAACCGGGTTAAACGACAACGAAAGCTTCCACGTAGGACCTGTCTAGGGCTAAGGTAACGAGACTACCAATACGTCTGGTACAACCCTAGTACCTTATTTTTACGTCCACCGCCCTTTGTGTACCCCAATCATAAAACTTAAAGTATAACCTATTTGGTAGCTTTCAGTTTTGGCTTATTAGCCATTTTTTGTCACCAAACACTAATTGTTCATATTTCACTTAAAACAAGTAGTGCATGAGTTACTATTTGGCTAAAATGGATGGAATTGATACTCTTAGATTAATTATTATGGAGTAGATATTATTTTCTTTTCTTTATTATTTAAATGCTCCCTTTGTTCCATTAAATTCATGATACTTTGGATTCAAGGAGTTTAAGAAAGTTGTGGAAAAGTGAAAAGTGTGTGGCTAGAAATTGTTTAGAGGTGAGAGAATTGTTGGTAGCCAAATATTCATTACCGAAATAGGGAATAGAGTGTATAGTATTTTTTGAGACGTCCAAAAAATGATAGTATAAGAAGTTTTATGGGACGGAGGGAGTACATGTTTTGAATATTTCTTTAATAGATTCAGCTAACTAAGTTATATGAGATACGACTGCAACAATTTCAACACTCATCCATTTTTAGACTTGCCAAATGGCTTCATAATTTCTTAAGCATTACACAGATTATTCATTAGTCAATACATTTTCACTGGAATGTTATGTTTGCTTGAGGATTGCTCACTGAATTGTGTTTGTAGTTCCGAGCTTGCACAAAGGATTAGCATAAATGAAATTGCAGAAAATATGATGGCCTTCAATACCAATTACAAGGACACTGGTCTCTTTGGTGTCTATGCATCTGCTAAGGTTAAAAAGGGTCTTCTTTTGCTTTGGCTATGTTTCTCTGAACTGCTAGCAGGGACCTGATTGTCTTATTGATCTATTGACATGACAGCCAGACTGCTTGGATGATTTGGCATATTCAATCATGTACGAACTAAGCAAATTGTGCTATAGGGTTTCTGAGGCTGATGTGACTCGTGCGCGTAACCAGGTTCTTGCTTGTTGATTAAATGACACACGTGTGTGTGTGTGTGAAAAAGATAGATGCATGTATTTAGGAATTATGCAATACCC